CATACAATTCTCCTATTTCATTTATACGACTTTCTCTTTTAGAGAAAGTCGTATAATCTTCATGCTTTTGGCACACAATTTTCACGGTGCTGTGTGATTTCGGCAGAAGTGACATAGGCAGTGATTAAATGGGCAGTGAGTGATTTAAGCAGTGAGGTGAATTGGGCAGTGAGTAATTTGGGTAGTAAACGTTTTCTAAAAAAATATTTTCCATATAAAAACAATTTGAGTATCATCAGATTATGAGTGATTTAGGCAGTAAATTATTGCCTTTAAAAAACTATTAATGTCACAAATTTAAAAGTATATTTTAAAGTGTAAATGATCAGCACAAGCTAGGAGGCATAATATATTCACGAAAAAATATATTTTAAACAAATCCGAGCCCTAGTTATAAACATATTCCTGAGGAATAAAATTTACTGCCCAAATCACGCATAATTATTTTTTCGTTGATACTCAAATTGTTTTTATGTGGAAAATATTTTTTTAAAAAACGTTTACTGCCCAAATTTAATTCACCTCACTGCCTAAATCACTCACTGCCCATTTAACCACTGCCTACGTCACTTCTGCCGAAATCACCAGACACGATTTTCACAGTGATTGATAAATGTTTATTCATCGTTTTTGCAAAAAAATCCTGGAATTTTTAATTAATTTTACTTTTTTATAAACAGAAGTTTTATCTCCTTGAAACTTTCTATAATAAAGCTCCGATACTACTTAATTAACAAGTACTTTTAGAGATTAAAGATTACTACTTTTTTAATTTAAATATTATTTTAAACAAATATTTACTTTATATTTAATTTTCTCAACACATTATTAAAAAATTCATTAGAGAAATATATTTGGTTCAAAACGTACAGCCACTATCTCCGTCATAATACAAATATTTCCCTTAAAAATATGTACTTTAAGGGAAAATTTTTTACTTCTTTAAATTAATGTTTAATTATCTTTAATAGAGAATAAAATAATTTATACAAGATATAAAATTTTCAGACATATTTACAAGTTATTATTTCGCGGAATTGTAAATTAAAAGGATTTTATTTTTTATTTTATATTTTATCTAGTACATATACTATAAATTTATATCTTCGAGGGCCGAATGCCCGCGATTTGCATACATCTAACAATCTAAAAGCGCGATTACATGTGGCGGGCCGAAGGCCCTACGAGAGATTTATGACTGAATATTATAGTAAAGAAAGCAAAAGTCGATAGGCTTTCTAACTCGAAGTTCTGTTTTGTTACTCAGAATGTTGAGTAAAACAAAAAAACTGACTAAGATTCCTAAATTTCTAGAATTATAGTAATAATATTAGCTCTGCTGGTGAAAATTTTAGAAAACTTTAAAGATTTGTTTTCATAGAGTACCTATTTTTAATTTAAAGATAAGCTTTTGGTACTTTTCCGTTTATGTCCATATGTAGTTTCACCTATCTCTTAATAATTTGAAAAATATTTCAATTTTTACAAAGGAAATTTTAGTTTCAAGACTTAAGATTTCGTCTAGATCTTTTGGATTTTTTAAATTTTAAATTGAATTTATTAAATCTTTTAAATTTGAAGAATCTGAATATATAATGGAAGATTTATTCTGGAATCGCGATGAATTTGACAGAGCCTATAATTGTTCAGGAATTAATGTCGATGATATTCCATTTGAACAAAGAAGATATCCAATAGCTGCAATTATTTGTATAATATTAGGCTGCATATATTATGTATTTTTTAAAAATTAAGTTGAAAAAATTTGATAATTTCAGCCTTTATATTTCCCTTGTGTTTACTCTTTTTGGAAGAATAGAACAAAAAATCCCTGTTATATACTTTTAATTTATCTTTCGATTTTGGATATTTTATATCTTTGGGAACCATCTTTCGCTTATGGAATATTTAGTTTAAATGGAGTAGTTTATTGTTCTTCACCTTTTTTAACATATTTTGTTGGTTGTTGTGCATTATGTGAGTTCCTTCATTCTACTACAAAAAAACTTCAATCAAAGACATAAATTAATTAGAGTTACAATATAGAGTCAAAGAATGATAATAGAGTCAAAGAATGTACAGGCGCAAAGCCATAACCTGCTTCAAAATTTCCAAATCTTTCAAAATTTAGTATTAAACGATTCCTCTCATCGAGCTAAAGAGATTGATACCAAAATTATTAAGCTCCAAAAATTTTCCAAGTAGTTATGGCTTTGCGCCTTGGGCGTGTCCCTGTTTAAATATATTAAGTTTATCTAATAACATCCTAATCTTTAAATTTCAATTTATCATTTATTCTAACTCACTTTTAGTTCTTTGGGCTGCCGAATGTTCTGCTGATTTGGTTTTTTAATTAAATAAATGTTTCAATCATTAGTATTTTTTAGATTTTGGGAATAAATCGCTGTCTTGAAATGGCATTTCCAAAAATTGGAAAAATTCTTTTCCATAATAATCGTGTTTATTTTTGGATTGTCTTTTGTAATTTATATGGGCTTTATTGGCTTTTATTTCGACATCCTTATATTTTCAATGGAATGTCATTTGGAACTTCATTTGATCCATTAAGTGGATATAAACCTTTCAGAATAGAATTGGTGAATTAATTTAATTTAATATATTTAATATAATGTACAATATTTAGTTTAATCAAGATTTACTTTTATTTACAATACACAATACAATGTTGGCTATAGGTTCTCCTATACTTTATTTATTTTTTTCAATTTGCGTTTTCTTCAAAGGCCGTGAATTAATTAACAATGTTTCTAAAGAGGAAAAAATGGTTTGAATTATATAAAAATGCTTACCGTATAACATGATTAATTGCCCTCACTCTAATAATTACATCACTTCCATTAATTACCCTATCCAGCGATAGATTGAAACAATAATTACCCCCCCCCCCCAACAAATGCCCTAAACACGTTCAAATTTCAAACCTTGTATAATTACCCTCCCTCGATTAATTACTCTCTCCAGCGAAAGTCGAAACAATAATTACCAATTTATAATAAAAGTAAACATTTTAAGGTATTTATTCAAGTATTTACTGTTTCAATGTTAAATACAACAGCAGGTCTTGCTTATGCTTACAATATGCATAATTCCGATCATGGAATTTTTACTTTAATGATTGCACATTTTTCTTGGTAACTTTATTATAATTAAAATATACTTAATTTATTATATTTTTAGGTTACATATTCATGGTAAGTATTTTTATTAATAATGTCAGTATTCAAATTCATTTTCTAAAAATCCGGTTTTATTTTCAACATCACTCACTAATATCCTAATATCACTAATATTCTAAATTTAACCTTAGACCTGCTGGCCATAGGTTCCGGACTCCGGAACCTATGGCCAGCAGGTTTAAATTTTGGTTGGCTATTTTCTGAACTTTTTAGAAATTAAATATCAATACAAAAATTAAGGAACAATCTAATTGAGTGGGTTACTAAATATTCAATGAGGGATTAAGTGGATTTGGTTGGATATAGTGGATATTAGTGATCTCCTCCAAATTTCAAATCTCTCTATATCCCCATATCCTCTTTATACTTCTTAATCACTCGAACTCTCTCTTAATCCTCGGTCATTTTAAAAATTTATTTTCAGGTTTTCCTCCAGTTATTTACCTAATATTAAACAAAACTGTTCGTAACGACACAAAAGCCCTTTTTAAAAAGATTTTTTCTTCCTTAAAAAAAGTTAAAGATTCGTCTGTTGGAAGTAATAATCAACAAAATATCAGAAATAATACTTGGATGTAAAACGAGAATAATGATTAAAGTTAATTATCTCGTGCAGAAACTGTCGTAAATGTGAGAATATCGGATGACCGACTTGTACATATTATATTTTAGATTATCCATAAATATTTTATATACATCAATTATCTATAGATTAAATTTTGAAAATTTAACGATATAAACTATTATGTACATCCTTTTAAAAGATAATTTCAAAGTCTAGGAAAAAGTAGTGCCTAACATTAGTATCTACATATGTTCTGGCTGGATATTTTGAAATTTTTTCTAGTTTTAGTAACGGCATTAAGGTAAAATAAATGGTGGCATAGACAATAAGCATTTACATACTTTAGTAATTTAAAAAAGGATCATAAATATCTAAAAAAAATAATTTATACATTTACATAGCTACAAATAATAAATTTTAAAAACTTACATATAATTTAAGGAATTTTATAAAGTTATTGTTAAATTTCCTAATGTCGGATTTAGTTTAATTTTAGAAGAATTCGGTCTAATATGTACTTTCACAAAAACAATTTACTAGATTTTCTTTTTAAATTCTTTTAATTTTAGCATAACTCTCTTTCATTTATTGGACTTTTTCCGTTTAAATTAAATTCTTCAATTTTTCCTTCTAAATATCTAATAGTTGAATGGATGTCAATGAATTTCTCAGAAGCATCTAATTGGATCTTGACCTGAAAATTTTAACTTTTTAATATCGTTCTATTGCCTAAATAAGTTTATTGGTAAAAGATTAGTTATATAAACTAATTTTTTGTAGTTAATTGAAAATCGAGAAAGAAATCTTATAAACTTTGATTAATTTAATTTTATTGTTTATAATAATTTAATAATCTTTTTAATTATAAACAGTAAAGTAAATATATTTTACCTCAAAGACATTTTGTTCATAATGGAAGATGCTACAACCATTTTGCAGGAATTTAACAATCGAATCCATATTAGGACGATTTTCGGGGTTCGATTGAATACATGCCTAGAATTAAATAAATATTTACTTTTTAATTATGTAAATATTTTTATCATTTTGCGTGGCACGGAAATATTGTTTCTTAAGAGATGGTGATTAGAGTTAACTGGGTATTTCCAAGAATCTAGATTTGTATATGCCCTTATCTTATCAACAATCTATCCTTTTTTAAACTTTTAATAGCCTATAGGATACCAAGTATTTATCACATATGTAGCTAGTATACATATATCCAATCTACTATATTTTTAAATTTTTAATACTTTAATAATCTGATCTAGCTGAGTCTCATATTTTTCAAATCTGATTTTTTCCAATTGAACATCAAGTAAATCATAATCGTTTTCCTTTCCAAGTATTTCTGCATAAAACCGATTTGCATTTTGCCATAGTCCGTATATCATTAAACCAAATGCCCAATTATCCACAGCTCTCGTCATCTTTTAATTTAAAAATTTTCTCTTTTTAAATAATTAAATTAATTACATAAAATTGTTTATTGTAGTTTTCATTTAAATTAGTTTGACGTATTTCTGGTGCTTTATATAATCGGGTGCCATTAGCATACCATTTGATAGCAACAGCATCTTCAGCAGGAAAAAGAACAGAGGTGTTGAAGTCTATAATTTTACATTCTAATTGATCATCCTCAATTTCTTCAATTGAATCATTTTCTTTTTCCTTTAGTTTTTCTTCATTTTTGTTATGTTTTGGAAAAGTAACAAAATTAGATGATTTAATATCATGATGAATTCCATCTAAATTTAATTAGTCTGATAAGAATTTTAAGTATTTTTTGGTTATGTCACACACCCTAAATAAAATTTAGAACACCAAAAATGATTTTCAAAATTTAGATATAGGGAGGGTTGCAGTCCGATCCAAAACCCCTCAACTATTTTTGACTAAAATGCCAACCCTGAAAACGAAGACACTGACCACGACATTTTTATGAACCCAATCATAAAATAATTTAATAATAAACCAATTTAACTATTATTATTCCCGGCTAACTATTTATTTCTTCGCTATATTATTTAATATTTTTTCAAAATTTCTTACATTTATGAAAATGTTGCAATGCTTTAGCAGCGCACATACTAATTTTAGTTATAAGATTATATGCAATAATTCTTGTTTCCTTCTGAGTATGTGTTTCCATAGCATTTTTCATCTTTCTATTAAAATAATCTATTAAACTTTCCCCACCAAGTTCTAAAACAAAAAACATTTTTGGTTCTCCATCAATTATTTTTTCGTGACTTAAAATTTAAAAACAATAATAAAAATAGTTTTAAAAATTATATTTTTCTACCTTTCATACATATAAATAATATATTTTCTTTCTTCCTTTTCAAGTTTAGAAAAATGTTTGAGGATTTTAACTTCATTTTCTATCATTCTTCTACTTAATCTATGTTTTTGTTTAGTTACCCCCATTTTTAGATTAGATACTTTTAGAGCCACACAAATATTATTTTTAGGCCAATATGCATGATAAACCTTTAAATAATTTAAAATAGTTTGTCCAAAAGCTTGTATTTTTATTTGAGATTTTAAATTTAATTTTGTTAATTATCATTTATGAAAAATTTTTTATTTTTGTCTCGAATACAGGAGACCGATAAACCATCCCCATAAAAACTTACTCTGCCAAATCCGCCTTCCCCTTCTTTTTCATCTTTTTTGTATATTAATGAAATATTTTTTACATCTATTTTTTCGTTAAGCTCTTCAACTAAGTATTTTTTACAATAACATTTTCCTTCATCAGAGGACGTGTTAACTATAACTTAAAATTAAATTAATATTTTCTATATACATAAATATTCTTTTTTTTTTATTTACGAAACTCAAAACAAAAATCCAAAATAATAAAAATAAATTTCTAAAAACACAAAATTTTTAAAATAAGGATTAAAAATTTTTCTTTTATAATATAATTCTGCATACCGTAAATCATCTAAAATAGCCCCCGGGGGCTAAGTTTTTCGATTATCTCCAGTTGGGCTATTTTAGAAGGGGAGGCTATTTTAGAGGATTTAATTCTACTAAATTTAAATTTAATTACCAGATTCTTCACTATCACTTTGTTCCTGAATTTCCGGGCTTAATCCCCTTTCTATTGAAGTACTTGCTTTGTCTTAAAATTTTAAAAATTCTAGATATTTTTGTTTAAAAATTTCAATAACTTGTTTTCCGTTCAACATCTTTCCCATAATTTGCGTCTCTTATGCAACCCAGTTTTTTTGATAAAAATTCTTAAATAAATTAGGGTTTATAGTATATTTCAGTTCATTTTAAAATATTCAAACTAAAATTTATTTATTTCCCACATAATACATATTTGATTAATAATTTCACCCTTTCTAGTGTAAAAGGAATATGTAGAGTTTCTGCTTTCAAAAACTTCATCCCAATCTAGGGAAATCTGGTCTATCTGATCCTTGGTATTAAAAAAATAGCAAGGGCCCTACAACCGTCCCCATTGAACTTTTAGGGGGCTTTTACTATATTAGAAAGCTTTTAGGCTTTAAGGCTTTTACTATATTTGGAAACTTCTCTCTCTTTAAAGCCCTGCTAATAATTATAAAAAACTTCATACTTTTCATCCTTTTCTTCCTAATACTATCGCTAGAATTGACAAAATAAACAATAATAAATAATAAAACAAAAAGTTTTTTCCACATTATTATGCTTGTAAAAAAAGTTTTTAATTAGTATAGTTAGTGTTATCTAAATATTTTACAAAACTCTTAATCGAATCAAGACCGTAGGTAAATTAATATTACAGTCCTCCCCCCCCCTATTTGCCAAATAAAGGTTTTTATTAAATTTAGTTCACTCCTCTCTAAGTTACCCCCCTCTTTTGCAAAAACAGTCCACGGTTAACTGACAGTCCACATTACTTTTTTTCCTTTTTTCATCTTAGTCTGGTTCCAGGATATTTAGGTATGTATGTTTATACAATTAATAAATTGTCAGTCGCTTTTTTAAAAACTAATCTTAATTGTAAAACATTATTCTCTTTAATAACGCTAATTAAGCAAGAACTTTTTAAAAAATTGTTTTTAAATTTTGAATTGTATGTATATGTAATGATGTGTATAAAATTTTTATTTAAAAAAATATGGAGAGGAGTGGAGTGTCGGGAAATTATTTTTAAGTGAATCATATGTTGTTTTTCTTATATTTTTATCACTAGTAAATAAGGCATTCAATGTCTAGACCTCTAAAAATCGAAGGACTTACTTGTTTACATGTCTGGCTATATATATTTGCCTATATTTTTATCGATTTTTAAAATAAAAATTTTTTTCAAAGTGGAAATATTCAAAATAAAAAATTTAAAATTTAAAAAATCCTCTAAAACTCGTAATATTTTAAACTGTTTTAAGTTTAAAATATTACGAGTTTAAAATATTACCCCCACTGTAGACAATTAATTTTCATAAAGTTTTACTTAAAAACTCTTTAATTTTATGTTTAACTAAAAATAAATTTATCAGCTAATACAACTTTTATAATTTAAATTTAAATTAATTTAAAAAACTGAAATTATTAGCATGAAAAGATTAACACTATTTTTAGGACTTTTTTATCTATCACTCATTTTACAAAATTTACTTGACATAATTAAAATATTTAGTAAACTTTGTATAAAAGATGGATTGGTAAAAGTATAAAAATAATTAAAATTAATTAAAATAAAAGTTTTCAAAACATCTACAGTTACATAAATAAAATAAATTGTGAACATATGATCCTAAGATTGAGAAGAAACATCTAGTCGATTCAGCTCGAAGAGTCGAATGAAAACTGTGTACTTAGATTTATAAAGTCATTAAACATCAAATAGTTTTGAATAAAATAAATTTTATTCGTTTGATTAATAAATGCTAATTACAAAAATTAAACAGAAAAATAAGGCTAAAAATAGTAAGGATTAAATTATTAAACAAAAATTAAATTTCTTAAAAATTCCTCTAAATATTTCCTCCTTTCATTTTTGTACAAATTAAAACATCAGAATGAAAACTTGATTGTCTAGGAGGCAATGGAGGAGCATTTGTATCCATTGGAAAACAAAAATTTTCTAGAGAACAATCAGAAATTCTTGTATTTAAATTAAATGTTGTTGGAATTGTTGAAGATATTTGTTGTTTTTGATTTTGTTTTTGTGAAAATAAACGGAGAAATTGGGGGGATTTTGATGTTGTTTGGGTTTGATCTAATTTTGTTGAAAATGTTGTCGAAGTATTCCTTCTTTTATTTATTGCTACTAAATTTTTTTGTTGTTTTTGTTTGGATTTGGCCTGGAAATAAAAATTTTTTTTAATTATACACTCTACATCAGGGATCCCGTCGACAGAAAACCAAATTCCCGATTTTCAAGAATATTTAGTGAATCGAGTCGGCGCGATCCCTGATTCATACACTCTATTTCAAAAGTACATAAGTACTTTAATTTTTTACTTTTTTATGTTCAGTTAATGTATCTTTTCGGAACTTAGTATTTCGATACAATTAACTAGTCTAGGAACATTCTCAAAGTTTCACAAATTTTTCTCAACAAAAAATTTTTAATAATTTTTTATTACAAATTTTCCCCAAAAATAGGTGTTCCATAATTATAACCCCACTGATTCAAAGCAAAGTTTAAAAATATAAATGTTTTAAAAATTAATTTAATAAAGTTAAAGATTATTTACTTGTAATGATTTTATTAAATTTCCGGCAGTCCCTAGAGGCGAATTTTTAAAAAAGTTGCTACTTCCACTTCCACTATTTGTAGATGAAGAACTTGAAATTTGTGAATTTCTAGTACTTAAATTTCCTTCATTTTGTGAATCTAAATAAATTTAAACAAAATTTGGGTTTTATTTAAATTTTACTTTGAAATTCGCTAACAGAATGGCTTCTAAATGCTCTTGTGGCCGTTGGTGAATTGTTAATTGTAGATGGAGGGGAGAGGAAGGAGGAATTGCTGATAATTTTGATATTAATAAATATTATAATATTATAATCTACTAATAAGAGATTAGTAGAGAATAAAAATATCGTATTTCCTCTAATTAGAATGCCACCTTAGAAGGTAATTGAAAAATAAAATGCCATGGCATTCTAATAGAGGAAATACGTTAGTTAAATTTATAATTGAAGTCAAGATAGATGAATTGTTGGGAATTATGTAACCCGTCTGTCTTTTATCCCGCCCACCTAATAATCTTAATAGCTTGCAGAATATTTTTTAAAATCCAATTCAATTACCTAGCATTATTATTAACAATCACATTTGTAGGCAATTTCCCCATAATTTCGTTTTGATCAATTTTTGAATAAATAGAAGCCCCTTCGGGTAATAAAGATTTTGATGTTTTTCCAAATTGTGTTTCTATTTGACATTTATAGGAATTAAATGAAGCAACTAAAGAATTGTGAAAACTAGCGGCATTAGAAGAAGATGAATTTGTTGTTGTTGTTGTGGGGGTAGGGGTATTATTTGAATGAATAAATAAAGAATATTCTAATAAAGTTATTTGTTCAAATATAAGCGAAATTAAATTTTCTATACAACGATTCTCTTCTTCACTACAATTAATACGGCATTGAGCGGTGAAAAAAGGCTAAAAGTGTATAAAATAATTTTAAATTAAATCAAAGTTTTGAAATTTTTATTAAATATTCCAGTCTTTATCAGTTAAGCTAGGAAAGGAGTTTATCAGAGTTGGGGGAAAAATAACTACCTGGGGAAAACAGAGTCAACCCTGAGGACCGTTACCCTGAAGACCTTTGACCTTAAGAACCTATCTTTTGATCAACAGAATGTCATTGAAAAATTAATTAAAATATTTTACAAAGGGTCCCTTATCAAGTGATCGACTGATCAATCAAATGATCATCAGTCAAGTGTCGGTGACCAATCATGTGATCAAGTCATCAGTCAATTTATCGATGATCAATCTAGTGATCATTAATCAAATAATCGACTGATAAATAAAGTGAATATATTATCTTCTATCCGAAGATGTAGGTCTTCAGGGATGTACTCAGTAAAAAACATTTTAAAAAATTAATAATTTAAAAAATTTTTTTAAAAAATTTTAAGTTTTTGCCTGATAATTTTTAATTCCGCCACCAACATCTGCCTGTACAATTCCACGAATCATCCCTCCCAAATTCATATGAAATTCAGAAACAAAACCTTCAGCAACCCTACTAGATAAATCAGCAAGTTTATCATTTGCTTCTTTAACTCTTTCAATTGCCACTTCTACTGGATGTGAAGGTAATAATTCTTGTTCATTAATTATTTGGGCAAAATTTAGTAAATTCGGTAATGGTCTATAAAGAATAAATTCATCTTTATTTTTTGTTTTATAAAATTTTTTTAAGTGCTAATATGGAAGACAATTATAATTCAATGACCGATCAAATATTCTATGCGGGTTTTAATCAGAAAAAAGTCCAACCGTTGTGTTGTAAATATTTTCTTGTGTAACCATAACCTCATGGTCTCATTATCTTCCAAATCTGTCCATTTTGTGTTTGTTTTAAATTCTCTCCGAATAAGTTGAAAATGCTGGATTTTGTGATGTTTATAATACCAAGAAGTTAAACGAGAAGGGGATAGTAATAATTCTGAATAAAAAGGAGAAGGGATTGGAGTTACAGTAATTATCTGAAAATGTAAATTTTTTTTAAAAATATATATTTTAATTAAAATATCCATTTTATTTTTTAAAGAAGAAAGAAAATATAAAGAGAAAAGTTGTCATGGAAACATAGAAAATATTCCCCAAATTTATTTTATTTCGGCTTTATATTTCGATTTTATATCGTTTTCCTAAATTATTAATTGAAATTAACGAAGATTGCCCCAAATATCAAAAAGCTTTCTATTTAATATACATACTATGTAGCTTCTAAATTATTAGAAGAAGTTCCAAATTGGATATGGGTATATGCTCCGTTCCGCTTATATTTCCTTTTATTTATCAATAGAGCCCGGATTTTTATGCATTAAAAAATGCAAAATATGCACTATAATATGCATAAAAAATTGCCAAAATATGCACAAAAATATGCAAGTAAACCAAAATATACACGCATATATGCATGAAATTTTATTTTTTAAAGAAGAAAGAAAAAAAAACCTAAAAATTTTACATATTTTTAGTCATTATGATTTAAAATACATTTTTTTATTAAGATTTCTCCTATTTTAAATGTATAGTTCGACAAATTGAGCATTTTTACGGTGTTGGGCATTTTGAGATGAGGCATTTTGGTGGTGGGACATCTTGGAGTGCGACGTTTTGGGGCTGAGACATTATGGGGGTGGGCCATTTTCTGGCGAAACCAATAAACACAAAAATTTTTTTACAAAATTTGTAATTTTTACAAATTTTTTCCTAAATTTTTACTAAATTTTCACTTTTTGGCAGGATTTTAGGCAATTTTCGCAATATTTTCCCAAAAAACCTCAAAATATGCAGTAAAATATGCATTATGCAACAAAGTCCGAAATATGCAAAAATATGCATTATATGCAAATAGAAACCCCCTCTAAAGTTTTCAAAACTTGCGGAAACAGTGTTTTTTGTGCATAACACATCATGAAAAGTTTGCAAAAAAAATATGCATTTGCATAAAAATCCGGGCTCTATTTATCAACAAATACATATCTAGGTTTAGGCTAGGGATTACATTTAGGGTTTTATAAGGGTCAGCAGTTCTTTTAATGCTTAATAATTTTGAATTAAAAATTTTTTAAACAATAAAAAAATTTAATTATTTAATTCCCCATTTCAATATTTTATAGAAAAATGTCAACCACAGATTTAACTATACATCCAGCCGAGGATGAGTCGGAAACTCGTCGTTTATTTGAAATAAAACAAAAATTTACTCGTTACAAACCCCCAGATAGACTAAATCCAACAATTTACAGACTTTTTATTCAACAAAAATTCTCTCAATGTAAACAAAAAATAAAGGTTAAAATTAAAAGTTTGAAAATAATTTTTAAAAAAGGAAATTCTTGATGATACACCTGAAATGCTTTGTGAATACCCTCTTTTATTAAGAGGTCAAATTGCGAGGGAAGAGGGGGAAATATGTGAATCGGTAAAAAATTTTGGGAAGTTAAATAGTTAGTTTAAAAATTATTTAGGTAGAATGGATAAGCAAAGCATTGAAACACAATCCTCGCTCACCCAAGTATTACTTAAACTAAAATTTTTAAAAACTTTTCCTTTTATTAAAAATCGTGGATTTTGATAGGATCTGTCTTCCTATTAGAATTATTTTCTAAATATTTAGAGTTTTGTTCGAAATGGGAAAAAGTCATTACTTGTTGGGTGAACACCAACGAGCAATTGAATTATTTAAACTTGCTTTGGAAGCACAACAAAAGAGAAATGAGGAAAAAGGTCGTGGGTTGCTTGATTGGGTACAAAAATTGTTTATTAAAGTAATTAATAAAAACATTCTAGAGATTATTTTATTGGCAATCTCTTGCAGTATATCATGTTTATAAATCGCCGGAACGAGTTAAAAAGGTTAGAAAAATTTAAGCTAAAGGTAAAAAATAATTTTGTTATTTTTAGTCTCAGGATGTAATGTTGGCATGTCCAAAAATTAACTCGAGTGCGGATATGGTAGAATAGTTTTGAATTGTGTTTTAGGGAAATTTTTGTAAAATAAGAGGGATTGGGGACACGCCCGAAATGTCGCGCGGCCATAATGTCGCCGAGCCATGACTTGCTTTAAGATTTCCGAATCTTTCCAAATTTAGTATTAAACGATTCCACTCATCGAGCTAAAGAGATTGGTACCAAAATCGTTAAGGGCCAGAAATTTTTTAGCAAGTTATGGCTTGGCGACATTATGGCCGCGCGACATTTCGGGCTGTACCCATGGGATTGGGCAGGTTAGATCCTGCCAAGTTTTTAAACAACATAAGAATTAAAGAGCAACTCGGAGCAACTCGAAATTTAAACAGAAAATTTGAATGACATTATCCCCAGAATAATTACAGCGCAGACAAAAATAAACCTAGATAAAGCTAACATAAGTAGGAATATAAAATTAAATGTCTAATAATTAATAAATAAAATAGTTATAATTAAAGTTAATGTTTCTGGCAAAAATATTAGATGAACAAAACGAAACGGGCGCTGCAGTTGAAGCTTATAAGCGCAGCATAGAAATGGAACCAGAAAATGTTGATTTAATACATTCACTTGGAATGCTATATTTAAAAGTATTTTTAAATAAAATATTTTTTAAAATAAGTAAATAGATGGAGGATCAGTCAAATGCTTTCACAACTTTTGGAAAAGCTCTAAGTTATGATGCCAATTATGTGCCATCTGTGCTAGCTATTGCTTCAATTTTGCAAATGAATAATGATTGGGATGTTGCTCTTTCAAAATATAAGTAAATGGAGAGATAGGACTGGGAGGAGAGTAGTACGAGAAAGAATCTCGATTTTCGATAACCGACATTTTTGACCGGAACCTCGTCTCGGTCCGATCTAAAGTAAATATGTAAAAGTAGATTTGTATTAGTCGCAAATTAAGTAACCCCCAGGAAGTATAAATCTTTTTGTTTGTAAACCATGGACAGATTCAGGTTCTTATTGTAATCCAACCGGCAAGCATTGAAAACGCTTAGGGAGGGAGTTAGATATATTCACGAGTAAGCAAAACATGCTTGATTATTACCCGGCGACTAAATTTCTGCCTAACCCCAATTCTATAAAATCCTATCCTCAAGCGGCAATCCTCAGTTCTCAAAAATGAATTTTTTAATAAATTCAGTGAGATAAGGGTAAATTTAAATTTTAAAAAATTAAATTAGAATTGTTGCTGCTGACTTTGATCATTCCTGTGCTATTTGGAATAATATTGGGATGTGCTTTTTTGGTAAAAGTAAACTAATTGCGGCACTTTCTTGTTTACACCGCGCTAATTATTTGTGTCCGTTGGATTGGAAAGTTTATCAGAAAATTAATTTTTAAAAATTATTTTTTTAAAAAGGTTTTAATAAATATGGCTCTTGTTTATTGCGCGTTAAGGCAATTTGCGTCAGCTTATCATTTTGCAGCTGCTGCCTATGCGGTTAATTCAAATAATGCAAGTATTCTATGCGTTATGTCTCGTATGTTTTTGAATAAAAATAAGTGAATTAAAATAATTTGGGGTGTTAAATTTGGAATTAACGCAATTTAAATAAGAAGACTAATTAATTCTAAAATTAGTATTAGTGTTATTCCCCGTCCTCGAAAGTCGGGGAATATGAGAGATTTTTTGCAAATTCCCCGCCCCCCCCCCCCCCATGGCGCTGTCTCCCCGAAAGCCCGAAAATTTATCCCCGTGATCCTCCCCCCTCCCCCCGTCGGGAAACAACCCTAATTTTGTAGTATGTGTTATTTTAAAATATAGAGAGAATTTTCCTAAATTAGTCCTATGCCTTTATTATGTGCTAAATTTAATTAATTAACTGCATACACTCAATTAAGTTATTTTAACTGAACTACAAGATTTTCGAAATGCATATGCTGCATATAAAAAGGCTATAAAACTAGAACCAAAATTATGGATAGCTCGCTACAATTTGGCTATTTTCGAATCTCGTCGGTCAAATTATAAAGAAGCTGTTAGTATTTTAAGAGAATTGGAGAATGAGGGATTAAATTATGGAGAAAATAAAAATCGTTTAAATTCTGAGGTTTTTAAGATCAAAAATTCCCTCAAAAATGTTATTTTTTAATAAAAGGAACTTAAGCAGTTAATTGAAAAAGTTCGGAAAAGATTTGAAGCTATTGCGGCAATTGAGGGAGGTGCTGTGCCAGAAATAAAGGAGGAAGAGGAATGAAATGAGGAAGAAAGAAGAGATTTAAATGATGAAGAGAATTTTTAATTTAAATTTATAAAAAATATTTTTATTTAATTATTATATCAGAAAATAATTATTTATTATTAACCCACCTGTACAAGTTTATCTTCTAATTTTTGCAATTCCTCACAAGTAATTTCCATTGACTCGATAAATTTAAAATCAGAAAATGACGCAAGGAACCGCTGCTTGAATGTAGCCCAAGATTCTAATGGCTGACCACGAAAAATAAATTTTTTGTTTGCCAAATAAGAGGGGCATTCTAAAAATTAATAAGAGGGAACATTCACATTAAAATCCCTAATTTTCTCTTACTTTTTCCATAAAAAGCAACCAAAAAATAATTACATTCAAGCCTTAATTCTTTAATTATTTTTTCATATAAAGAAGCATTCTTTTTCAACAATTCTGATAATTTTAAATAATCAAAACTAAAAATATATAAATAAAATATTGAAAGTATTCCCTTACAAAATTGTCTCGTAAACATTAATTAGCTCTCTATTTGTCTCTATTGCTAATTCCCAATGTTGGCCTAAATAATTAAATTAGAAACAAAATTAGTTTTTATTAGGTGGGGGACGGGAAGAGGTTAAAAGCAGGGATGTCCGCAAGTGAGAAAAAAAATTTCCGCAACCACAATCCGCAATTGTGGACAGCCCTGATTAGAAGATGAATTGATGTAAATATTAGGACTAAGAAAAGGTGAAAAGAAGTAAAAATTCTCAAAAATTATTAAAGATCTCCCAAATATCTCTCAAATATGTCTCTCTCTACTCTCAAATATGTATGTGATATGCCTTTGTAAGAGTTCAGATAGCTGGGAATTTCCCAGTATCTGCCAACCGTAGTAAGGGAGTGATCTCCCAAATTTAGAATCACCTTTTTCAAATAATTTAGCCATTTCAACACAAATATATTCCTTTAGAGCCATTTGTGTAGTAAAAATTAAATTTTGTTTACGAGCCCCATAAAGATATTTGGATGGACGTTCATTTGTCCAGTTTAAAAGAGAAGAATGTCTTTGGAGTGTAATTGCTGCTTCTACCCAATTTCCAGCAGAAATATTTAGATCATATAATTTATATCTTTAAAAATGAATGAAAATTTGGAGAGAAATTTTAAAAGGGGCATTTACTCAAAATTCTCAAAGGAATGTTAAAAATCAAACAATCCATTGAGAATCGAAGTAAGTAACCCTTGAGGCGTTGGATTACTCAACTTTTATTTTTCCTATCTTCAATCTCATTTTTGTTAAACGAAAAAAAGAAAAATCAAAAACAAACAAATAAATAAGGTAAAGACTGTTTTGCCCCATTTCTAGATAAAATTCAATTAATTGAACTGTACAAAAAAGTCCTGCTTCAATTTGAGTTTGCGATTGAATATTTAACACAGATAAATATGAAGAGTAGAGATCAAGTAATTTATTCATATTCTAAAAATTAATTATTAACAAATAAAAGTATTTTTTAAACAATTGAAAATCCAAAGATTTTATTTAACCAAGTAAATATTTCTCCCTTAATTTAAACCAGGGCTCAGATCCGTACTTATTTTGGAAGAACAGTACTTATAAATCGACCTCTGCCTACAATTCTCAAACATTTCACCTGTGGATCAGAAAAAGGCTGATTTTGAAGATATAATAAGCGAGAATAAATTTTTTAAACTGTATTTTTGTAGCGTACTTATACATATTTTAAAAATTCTCCTCCCCCCTATGTACTTCCAAATTGAATTTTTATACTTACACCCCTGATTTAAACAATTAAAAATAAATTAAAATATTCTACCTTAACAAAAAATCTAGTTATACTCGCCAAGGAGTCAACAACATTTACAGCATTAATTTCTTCACTTTCTAGAGTAATTATTTTTTCATCAAATATTTCATTTAAAGTTTTCTTAAAATTTTAATTAAAAATTAAATTTTAACTATAGAACAGAAATCAAACATTTAAGAAATTTCGAAAATCGTAAATTAAAAGGAAAAAGCCCAAATCGAAAATCAAATAGGAGTCCAATTTACCCACCAAAAAAACAAAAAATATTTTCAAATTTCAAAACCACCTTAAATTCCCCAAACAAAAAATCATCTTTAGCTTCATCTAAAGCAATATCCAATCTCTTTACAAATTCTTCAAAAAATAAACTTTTATTTAAATTTTGTTGTTGAGTTTGTTTTTGGAAAAAAGTTTTTCTTAAAACAACTTCTGAAGGGGTAATTAATGTTTTTGTATTTTGTATAAAATATTCTGTATATAAAATATCAAAAAATATTGGAGTAATTAAAAGACGTATATGTGAATTATTACAAAGAGATAACTAAAATGAAAATAAATTTTACACAAAAAATATTTAGGTATTTAGTTTTTACCTCAAGTAAAGGACTAATCATTTCAGGCATTAACTGAATTTTCTGGTCTGGACTAAGTGAGTGCCACAAGGACCTAATATTTTTGTTGAATAGATTAAATAATTTATTTATCGTTGATAATAAATTTAAATCACGGTTAGATATCTAATAGAAGCCCGGCTCCAATAGAAGCCCACTCGATGAGAGACATAGAAGATAAACGCCCATGCCCTTATAGAAGCCCATGTCCAATTAGAAGCCCACCCAATGGGACCCATTGAAAAATATACGCCCAGAGCTTCTATTGGAACATTTACAGCATACGATTTTTGAAAAATATTTTTTTAATTTAATTTTTGAAAAAGAATCTAAATAAACTCACAATAAAATTTTTACTGAAATTTTGCATATATTATAATAATCTCTATTCAAATAGCTTCGTCTATTATCCCTTTTTTGTCTCGAGAAAACTAAAAAATTTTCTAATCAAAGAAAACATAAAAACAATTTTTCCACCTTTCTCTAAACATGCCCATTTAATTACAGCAACACAGCTATACATACATTCTAACCATAATTGGCCAGAAAAATTAATTTCAGAAGAGAATTCGTGTTGTAAATAAGCACTCGAGAAACGAAGAATTTTTAGAAAAATTTTTGTTTGAGTTAAACGAATTTGTGACCATTCTTTAGGTGCAGGACAGCGAGATAGAAGATCTCGAAACATATGAAGCATTTCAGAAAGAGCGTCAATCCTTATTTAAAATAGGAATTAGCTGTAGTATTATTATCATACTTATTCAAAGCATGTTCCAATTGTGAAAAATATTTTGAAAAATGATGTGCAGATAATTTATCCAAAATAGCGAGTAAAAGAGAATGTAGAGGTCGTTGTAATTGAGGATCGCCTAATAAAGTGACCCTAAAAATATATTGAAAAACTTGGGTTGAAAGATAAATAATGAGCCCTCCTTTAGTTTAACGGATTGAATAATTATTAAAATTCAACGAAATATTATCAGACATGAAATTGTTTATTTTTATGATCCTAAGAGAGTTGCCTTTGCTAAGAAATCGGAATTATAGGAGTAAATTAGCAGGAGTTAAAGGTAAAATACGAAAATTTGTATTTGTAAAACTAGGCAACTTCCATATGATTTTTCATTACTTAATTGACGGGTAAAAATTAAAATTGATATAGATTCTGATAAAGGTGAATCTGGAGCAGATATAACTCAAGTTAGCTAATTATTCGGTTGTAACATAATTAGTTTCGTTTTTTTTAAATGTTAAATAAATGTCTTAAATTATCGTTTTTCTTTTATGTTTGATATATAGTTTTAAAGCTTAAAATCTCAGCTTTAATATATTTTTGAATTTTTAGTATTTTGCTTGATTTCTGAATTTTTATAGTCGCTAGAATGTCCCTCACTCAAGAAGAAATTCACAAGCTTTTGCGGAATCAATTCAAAATTACTAAAAACGCAACCAAAGCGGCAAGAAACATTAATGAATGTGTTGGTCAGAATGTTGTTTCTGCTCGTAAAGCTCAAAACTGGTTCAAAAAATTTTTTGAGGGACGAACCAAGCTTGGGCGCAAACATGGTCAGGGAAGGCGCGTTTCTGTGAATCGTCACCTTTTGGCACAAAGACTCAAACAAAATCCAACAATTGCCTCCAAAATGCAAACTGGCCTCCAAAATGCCTCCAAAATGCAAACTGGCCTCCAAAATGCCTCCAAAATGTAAACTGGCTTTTTTGAATGCGGAATTCGAAAACTTCCTCATCGTTGGCAAGCTGTGATTAATCTTAGTGGTGATTATCTCGTTGATTAATATTATATTTGATTGTTATTTTGAATAAAATTGAATTTAAAAAAAACGAAACTAATTATGTTACAACCGAATATTTAAGTTTCAACCTGAGTGATTATTTAATACTATTTCTTGTTAATTAATTCGAAAATTAAATCAAAATTGGGAAAGTAATCTAATATCCCCTGAAAGAAGAATTGAAAGAATAATCACTCGGGGTAATTAATTGAGTAAATATGAAATACCCCTACATTGTTTGAATAACTGGACGAAGTGTTTTTTGTAAAATTAATTCTAATTCAGAATTGGTTCCAATCTGTCCAAAATTGGCGCCTTTTTGATGTGGAAATAATCGTTCGATTAGCTCTGTAAGAATTTTTGCAGAGATTTCAACAACTTCAGGTTGATTGCTAAAAGATTTTTAATTAAATATTAATTTAAGCAAAATATAATGGATATAGAGATAGTGAGGGCATAATAAGTAAATTAACATAATAGGTAACGTTAATATTGCAAATTAGAAAATTTAATAAATGGAGTGATTTGCTACATTTCTACTACAAAAACCACCATTTGAGAAGGTTATTTTGGGTTTTTAAGAGTTTTTTAACCTATTTGAGAGTTGAGAGGGTTATTTTCTCTCTCTCTCCCATTTCCAGTTTTCGATTTCGTATTTTTTATAACAAAATAATTTTTAAATTTTTCAACCAATTTAAATTATTAACCCTAAAGACTGGCTATTTTCTTCTACAAAAACAGCAGTAATTGAAGCACGTCTTTGCAAAATATTCTTTTGGTTATTTTCTCGATTAATTGAAAGGGGTTGCATTTGAGATAATAATTGATCTACAAATTGCTCGAAAAGCAAGGAACGGCTTTTAAAATCACTAAAAAGCTAAAAATAAAAAATAATTGTTTAAAAATAATTTATATGAAATATTGTGAAAAATTATTAAGTATTTACCTCAGAATTGATAATTGTACCCAAGAAAGGTATCAACTCTTCATAATGGGAAGTAATGCTAGCAGACACGTTTGAGACGATTATTTTGACAAAACTAGAAAATTTATAATTAATAAATTTAGTCAAAAGTGAATCATATATTTATAAGGGAAAACAATAGAAATCCTTGAAATAGCTCAAAATTTTAATAAATATACTTCGAAATTTTTATTTCTTGTAAGCTGCAAAAATAATCTCAGCCTAGTTGTATTATTAAAATTACTAATAGAAGGTAATCCCCCCCCCCCCCATTAAATCCCCTATAATCCTATTAAATCCCCGGTAATCACCTATAATCCCAACTCAAATCTCACTTCGCTAAATTAATAGATGCACAAATGCAATTTTCAAGGAGTGTGGAGATCAATGAAGGTAAATATTTTAACAAAACATTTTGATGTTTTCTCATCTTTGTTGTTGTTATAACATTAAAATTAGACAAAACATGAGGGTTTTGATAAGTTTCGATTATTGAATTTAAATCGGTATTTTCATCGCCGCCAAAAAATTGAATGAGTGTTTTGAGAATCGAATTGATATAATTAATAAATTTTTGTTGATCGGTTGAGTTATCGATGGATTCATCTGATTTTTAATAAAATTTTATTTTAAATTATTGATAGTCATAGTATTTCCCTGAATAATTACTCTAGGTAATTATTTTTTAAATGGGCTCGTATTATACATAGAACCGGGCACCTGACGGGTTACCTAACCATCGTCACTAACCATCGTTACCACAAGGTCATGGTTAACCTTACGACCGTCTTATACTACCGCTAAAAACCGCCGGTGTAACCAGCAACAAAGTTCTTGACTACGGGCCATGGCTGCAAGGGGTAATTATAATAAAGAAGGGATAATTATTGAAGCTACAACATATTTTGTGAATTAGAATTATATATTTTTACCTGAATTATCCACAGGAAGTATATATGATAATTTTGAGTTTTTAGAAGCAATAGCTAATTTTACAATAAATCCCATTGAACGAAACAAACAAATTAAATGCTCATCTTGTTGTTTATTTGTTTGTTTATCTTCTTCTGTTGTTTCAGGCTTTACAAAAGAAGTAAAGGATGTTGTTTTTAATGTAGTGTTGGAATGAAAAGAATGATGGGAAGATAAATTAGAAATTGAAGAAGTTGAAGATTTTTTATTTGAATTGTTGAAACTTGCATCGTTTTTTAGACATCTACAACAAATATTTAAATTATTTTAGTTATTTTAGATTAAAGAATTGTCTTATAAACGTCTGAGTTGATAATTTTAGTATTTCTTCGAAATTCACAAAAATATCAAATTTCCGGGACAAGGATTGGGTACTATTAATAGGCAGGTATGAAAGCATATTATGTAGTTTAAGTAGGTAATCTCCTTCGTTTGCTCTTCTCTTGCCATTTCTATCTAACTACATCAGATAAAGTTTATCGTCTTTTTTATCGAGTACGACAAACACCTCCTCGTTAACCAACCTTTACTGACCAGAGGTCGATCGGAGATTAAGAAGGTGTCGGAAATTGGAATTCCGATCGACCTATAATTTTTGATTAAAACGGTTATGGGAAATTTTTTTAATAAATTTTATAAATAGAAGACCTACTTTTAAATAATATATAATCAATTTTATTTTTGTCCCTTCTTTTCTCGTGATATATCAACTTTTTCTTATGCGAGGTATAGCGGCATAAACTTTTGCACCTTACTGTATAAGAAGTGTTCACCTAATAAAATTTTCCAAAAGAAATTCATGTGCTCTAGGCCAAAACATTCTTTGAATATATTCTTCCAATTTTTCTTTTATTAAAAGGCAATCCCCATTATAAGAAAATAAATGGATTAAAGCCTCAAAAACAGGTACTTGTAATTGTAAATATTCATCAGCAATTTGAAATAAGGAATCCAAAAAATTGTGACAAAACTTTGTAATTTCGTTTAAATAATTTTTTGAATTTAAATCTGAACGGGAAAATTCTGCCAAATATTGTTTTAGAACATTTATTTGTTGATTTTCTTTGTTACAATAATCACGCCAACGAAGAATCTTTAATTAATGGATATTTTATTTAGTTAAACAAAGAAAATTTCCATAAAAATTTTTAACTTTATTTTGAGAATTTTAAAAGATTTATCTTGCCCATAAGAAGGTTTACATAAAGTAAGAGCGAGGTAAAAGTTTAATCTCGGGCAGGTTTCGATCCTGCGACCTCCTTGCAGTTATTGATAGGCGGATTTTTTCACCACGTACAGGTGCTCTACCAACTCTCTTTTAATCAAACTTAAACCCCCGCCTAGTGAGCGTTTTAAATGCTAGCAAGCTAAATCTTTCTCTTCCTTACAATAATTCGATTATAGTAATTGCCATATTTAATTAAACTATTAATTTAGATATAAGGATTAAATTGTTTTAATGAACTGAATTTATATGGATCATTTAATAAATAAATAAAATTTTCTAATCAAAGATTTAATCAGTCAAAATTTATTCCCTCCCTTGAATTTAAATAAATTTAACTCATTAAATACCTGAATTAACAATTTATTGTTACAATGTAATTGTGAACAAATAAAGGATTGAAAATGTAAAGTATTTCTTTCACAAAGTATATAACCATTAGAAAACGAATTTTGATTTAATTGTTGTTGAATTAATGTTAAATCCAAAACTGAAGGCAATGTAGCGACTGAACTTGAACGAGATTTGGAAGAAAATAATGATTGTTCATCACTGAAAAAATCGAGGAAATAAAAGGATTGAAGATTATTTTCAAGTTATGCTATCAATCTTAAGCAAAGGTTTAATCAGCAGAATTTATGCCCAACTCGGATAGATCCTGCAAGGGTTATTATCTGATCCGATAGATGGCCCAAACAGTTTAACATTCAAAAATATCTCCTAATCTTACCTAGCATTGCTAGTAATGCCTTGAGCCTCCTTTCTCCTTGACGGATTACTTAAATAAGCAACACTAAGAGGTAGAATTTTAGTTCCATCAGAATTTCCTCCTTTTGTCCGGTCTATCCGGTAAATAAATAATTCATCTTCATCGTCATTACAAAGAACATAATTACGGATAAGATGAAGAAATGATAGAGCGAAAGGGCCATTAGTATTACTTTCCTTTTTGGGATTTAAAGAGTTAGTAGAATAACTTCCTCCAGTACTGTATAGTGATTTTCTATCGATAAAAGATTTATTGTAGAATAAAATCTTAAAATTATGGAAAGTAAAAGAATTTTTAAAATTAGTTTTTACTTGTAGATGTAAATTCTTTGCTTCTTGATCGGGTAATAAAACTTTAATTAATTCATTAAATCGTGGGCGATCAGTGGAAGGCCAAACACGACAACGAAAACTGCTTTCTCGAATAGATCCTTCTGGGGTTATGACCTGATAATTTTTTTGATTTGGAAAGAAGATAGAGAAATAGAGATTGCTTTTGTATAAATTAATTTCTATACCTCAATTGCTTCAGGAAGGAAAATACCCTCGTCATCAACCACAGAAACAACCGCCTTTAATAAATGATTAAATATTAATCAAAAGGATAATCGCGTGAAGATAAAAAAATTTTATGATAAGAAATCTAGTAGAGTTTCACCGGTAGTTCCTTCCCGGAAAGTTCCGGCGTTTTTTGGTTACGGTTCTGGGAACCGGAACTAAAATTAGATCCGGTTCCGGTCAAAATTTCGGAGGCCGGCGAAACATTAAAATCTAGCCAAGATGCCAAAATGTCTCTCCAACACTCCAATCGTTTTTAAAAGAATAGAGTCCCCCCCCCCCCGTCTATCGCTTGGGCACTTTTTGTGGGGACAAAACTTTTGATTTATGTCAACTTTGTAATAAAAAATCTTTTTAATTCATCCCCACCATACCTCAATACTTTTTTCAGATCTAGCAATTCCATGAAAATCAGCATCCCTTAACCAAATAAATAATTCATTTCTACAAAAATGTTCATTTTCAAGTTTGAGGGGTCTAAGGATTTGGATGTTTGTTGATGTTGTTATTAAAGAATTAAATTCATTAAAAATTTGTATATTTAATTTAATTGGTATTTTTTCATTTTTAATTGTATTAGTAATTAAGGAAGAAGTATTTTGATAATTATTAGAAGGTAAAACTAAATCTGCTTCCTAAAAGATAAGAGGAATAATAATTACTAGTAGTTAATTTTAAAGAAAAATTTGAGATGTTGTCTAAAAAGGAAGAAACTAAAATTTGTTAAAAATTTCTTTTAAACATAAATTGGGACCAAAACATGGAGTAGCTTTTTTGGAGAAATTTCTAAGGTAAAAAATTAAAAAATTTGTTTTGGGTCCTTGGATGGGAAAACTATGTATACAAGAGGAATATGAGCGAATCCAATCACTGGGTTAGATGGTCACTTCCCATAAGAATCTATTCAATCTTTTCAACATTACAGACAAAAAACACAACCCTTACAGCAAAGATTATAATTAATTTATTAACTTCCAACCTTCCTTTGAAGTATCAAAGTCTGTTCACGTTGCTCTTTATCAACCATTTCCTTAATTAATTCACCCAACAAAGTATGACCATTCGCATAATATTGGCGAACGTCATCTCCTCCACGAACAGAAACTAAACGAGAATAAGGGAGAGAATAAATATAAATTATTTTATAACGATACTTCCAATAGGTCCAATAATTAAACAAGTCATCCATAAAGAAATATTTTCTAAATCAGATTCTGATATTCCAATAAATAAAACTTTATTTTGTTGTTTATTTTTATTTATTTTGGATAATCGAATGGTAAAAGGTTCTGTTATTGGTTGGGTTGTGGCCTGTTAATTAATGAAAATTTTATTTTAGAAATGTCTTTTTGAAGAGTTTAAAGGGAGAGGAGATTGATTATAAAAAAATCAAGAGTTTGGGTTATACATCGACGTTCTCTCTCCTAATTTAGTCATCTTACTAAACAATCCAAAATTGTAATAAAAAAATTATTCTAAAATACATATCAAAGTTGACGATATAATTGATTCATCATCAGTGATGAAAAAGTTCTAAAATTTCTTTGGAACCGGTTCTCGTTCTGGAACTGCCTTTTGTATTTCTTCAGTTCCAGTTCAGGAACTTGAACTCTTCCATCACTATTCATCATCACTGCCTAAAAAAGTCACTCTCAATTCAGATATTCAATTACTTAAACTGGCTACTCGACTACTACATATACTATTTGGAAACTAATGTTGGCGGTTCCAAATATATGGAACCGAAAAAAAGTCCGGATATCCAAAAAATTTCGAATAACAAAAGATTCCCCAAATTTTTTATTAAAATTTAATCACAAACTTTAGTATTTCCAGTATTTTTATTTAATTTAGAAGTTTTCCCCAATCCAAAAATTAATTCAAAATTATTATTAATTTCTTCATTATTTAAATGTTGTTCAATTAATTCATTTAAATTAATATTAATTAATAGAGAATATTTATTTAAATTATTTTTTAATTTTGTTGATATTTTTGTTAAAAAATTATCCTCCAAAAATGAGTCAATTATTTGTTTAGAATTTTTATTTATTCGTTCTGACATTTTTTCGTGTTTTTTATATGAAGTTATTATTGAAAAATCTGAAAATTTTTTTTCAATATTAAAATCAAAATTACCATCTAAATTTGCATAAATTCCCGAATCATCCCTTATATTCATATTTAATTTCAATAAATTATTTCCAGCGTCTATTACATCTGCTAATACCTAAAAAATATTTTTAATATTTAAAAGAGGCTAAATATATTTCAATGTATTAATCATCATTAACTGAATGAAAAAATGAATGATTTTTTCAAACTATTTTTTTCAAAATGTTTCATTCCCTTTACGTAAAATATGTTAAAAACATATTTGATAAATATTGAAAAATTGACTTTTAATAATATAGGTACTTATTGTTAGTAAAAAGCAAGCAAGTTTTTTTAATTTATCTTATCTCTTATATTTATCCTTCCAGTGTGCCCCCCCCCCTTCCCCCAATTCTTTTCACTAATATTTTTTCCAAATTTTTAATATTCTTCCACAAAAATATCTCTCGTTTAGGTTGCGAACAGAAGTTGTGGGGTTTGAAATAAAATTAAAAAACCCGCAAATTTAATTATCTAAAATCTCCGAGTATTCCCTAACTTTTCTTAATTAATTTTTAAATTAAAACCAAACCAAATTAATTTCTTTAATTTCTTCAGCCGTAATAGTACCAGAACATAAATGCCTTTTAACAACCAGTAATTGTTTAATTAAGGCTATTTGTTGTTCGAATTGGCATATAGTTGAGATGCCTTCTCCATAATCGAATTTAGTTCTTTCTATCCATTCCTTTAGTTTTTGATAAAAAATTTTTTTTGAAATTTTTATTTGAAAATTTTTTGTTAGATTACAAAAATTGTAAAAAATTTTAGAATGAAAAAAATTTCCATTGTTTTTGTCCTTACATGAGCCTTCTAAGGCTCCTTACACGAGCAGGGTTTATTAATTTTATTAATTATAAAGTTTTATTAATTACAGGGTTTATTAACCTAAAAACAATTCCCTCTATTCAAATTAAAATTTTATTTTAAGAATTTTTTTCACAACCAAAAAAACACCTTTAATGCCTCGCTAATATCACAGGCCAACCTTCCAACCTCCTTTTCATCAGTCAAATTTTTATTATTTTTTCCTTCCCCAACATTAAAAAATGTTTGTATTTTATTATTAATCATTATTTCCTGTACAAAAATTGATGGAAAAATTCCACGTTGTTCAGGTTCTTCCAATCGATAGCCAAAACACCATTCTCCATTAAACGAAATTATTTTGATTAAATCACCAATAAATAAATTTAAAAAATTTATTTTTGAAGAATTTTGTTGAATTTTTATTTCATTTTTTAAATTTTCTTTTAAATTTTTGTTGTCTTCCAAAGATGTGGAGGATGACGAAAAATTACAAATTACGATATAGATTTTTTGATCTGATTGGTTTTTGGTGTTGCTTAACATTTTTTCAGAATAATTTTTTAATTAAAACCCCTTAAAATAATTTTTTTGAAAATTTTTGAAATTATAATTAGATCAACGATATATAGGTGTACAATATAGGTACAATGTACTATGTAAAATTATAGATCAACGATAATTTTATTTTTTTTGAAAAATTATTTAAATTTAATTTAAATTTAAGGAAAATAATTTTAAGGATAGAACACATTTATATCTTTGTATTTTTAAAAGATTTTTAATTAGATTGCTAATTTAATTTATTTTTTTATCGAAGATGATTCATTCATTTAATTATTGTTCTTTAAATCAGAATTGTTGAGTACTGCTGGTAAATAAATACATACAGGATGAGTCCTGGCTGGCTATACATAAAATAAAAGCATCCCATTTATAAAAATTCATAAAAATTAAAATTATAATTCAATGAAGTTTTACTAAAATTAATTTTTTAAATTAATGATTAATTATAAATTTTTAGAATATTCGAAAAATTCCAATTTTTAGGTATATAAATTTTGGAAAAAATATTTTTAATTTAAAAATTCTAAGAAGAAAAGTAAAAATTTATTTACCTTAATAAATATTTACCTAAAAATATTTATAAATCCTCAAAGTAATTAATTAAAAACAACTATAAAATTTAATAATGACTCATCAATGACTACAACTAATTTAAAAATTAAAAATAATAATAAAATATTTAATAATAAAAAAATATGGTAATTTAAAAATTAATTAATTAAATTTAAAATTTAATTTAAAAAAAGGATAATATTTTTGGCTTTATTTCTTCGGTTATTTTCATTTAAATATTTAAATGAATTTATTGAACAATTACCAACATTCTCAACTCCCTGGAATAATTTAAAAAGATTAAAGGAAGCTGTCTTCCTTCAAAAATATGGAAATAATATTTATGACGGAGATTTAGTTCATGTGGTGATTTTTTTAATTTAAAAATTATGTAATAATTTTTTAAATTAGATTTGGGTAATTTTTACTGAAATTTTTGTGAATTTTTTAAGTTATTTACGAGTTTTGTGGAAATTTTAACAAATTATTTTGTCATTTTTTTCTCATAAATAAAAATAATTTTTTAAATCAAGAAAAACCCTCCTTGTAAAACCCCGTTAAAAACTCGACAATTTAATTTTAAATAATACCGACTAAATACAGGGTGCGGCAAATTTTGCGCCGATTTTGTTTTTGCCATAACTTTTTTCAATGTCGATGAAAATTGCTAATTCTTTTTTTATTTTATTCCCAACACTTAAGCAAATTTTTGGTACCAAAATATTTTCTAAATTTTGGAAATTAATTTGATTGTTTTCTTCTTAAAGTTTTGGAGAAATTTTTGGAACAAAAGTCGTCTGATTTAAAGGTTATGTGTTTGATATGTGCGAACTTTATATCATTCGATTAAGCTCTTTAAGCTGATTCGAATGATGTCAAAACAAACCGATTATCTTGTTTTTGAGCTGAGATATGGGTCTTTGAATGATAGATTATGAACTAGATGTTAAATTTCACTTTTTTAGGTAAAATTTTCACAGATCTAATAATAGACTATTTCGATGCTACTCGGTGAGACAAGTCGATTGGTACCAAAATTAGTAAGATTGGATGAATTTGAGTGAAGTTATGATAAAGTAAACTTTTGCGTGAAAAAATATTTTTTATGCGAATCGATCTTTAGACGGGTATATCTTTATTATCCTTGAACTAAATTTATATTACTTAGTACCAAAAATTTGCTTAGAGTGTTGGGAATAAAATAAAAAAAGAATTATCAATTTTCATCAAAATTGAAGAAAGTTATGGCAAAAACAAAATCGGCGCAAAATTTGCCGCACCCTGTATTTATAAAAGTCCACAGAAAAAGTCCGCAGAAATTGCACTCTTATCTTCAGTAGTGCCATATTTATTAAATTTTTTATGTAAAGGAAAAAATTATTTTTTATTAAAATTTTTTTAATATTTTCAAATAATTTAATATATTTCATAGCTACCAATAATTATTTACATATTCAAAACTTCTCTGGAACATCCATTTTTGTTAAAACTTCAATGGACGGTTTTCTTAAAAATTAATTAAAATTTAACAATTAATTTTTAAAAAGATTTTTGATATTTTTTGTGCCTATTTTATTGGAAAATTTGTTGAAGAATACATTTTGAAGAAATGTAAGGATTTGGGGTATTCGATAGAAAATTCTTTGGAAAAATCTCAATCTTTTGGTTTAATTGCATTTTCGAGGTTTTATTTTTAAATTAAGAAAAATTTAATTTTAATTTGGTGAAATTGTTTTAAATAAAAATTTCATTTTTATTTAACTAAAAAATTAAAGTTAAAAAATTTTTCTGTGCGTAAAATAAAATAACTCCGATTTCGAAATAGAAAAATAACCAAAACGGATAATTCTTTATTATATACACAACACTAACAAATAAGAAAATTTTTGAGCTAAAAGAGCTTATTCGTTTGATATAAACTTCTCCCATGTCAGACATATATCGCTTAATTCAGACGACTTTTGGTCAAAAAAATGTTGTCTGAAATTTGGGAAAAATACTCAAATTAATTTATAAAATTTAGAGAAAATTTTTGACCAAAAATTTTCTTATAGTGTTGGGAATCAAAAAAAAAGAATTATCAGTTTCCTTTAAATTTGAAGAAAGTTATGCCAAAAACAAAAGGGGCTTTACTAAAATTATTTGCATTTGTAATTCTCTCAAAATAAAATTAAAATTTATTTTTTTAAAGTTATTTATTAAATCCAATGACCATAGGATGTTGGACAATTTCGAATCTTTCTTCTTTGATTAATTTATTTGTTTCATTAATTCTTTATTATTTTAATAAAGGTTTATTTTATTTAAATTTAAAATTAATTAACCTTTAAAGATTATTTATTTATTTCAATTTTCTCAATTTGTTTAACAATCCAATTAAATCCTTATTATTTACTTTTATTGGCACCTTTAATTCTGCATTTTAATCAACGAAAATTTTCTCTAATTTTTATTTTTGTTACATCTTCAATTTTATTTTTATGTTTAAATTTATATTTGGAAGAGAATTGGAAAGATATGTTTAGAAATACTTTTGGATTTTTGTTAGTTTATTTATTTTATTAATTTTTTATTATCCCGTTCTAGAATTTTTGGGGAAATTTTTTTCTATTTTTGATTTTGTATATTAAATTATTTGCAAAATGGGAAAATTTGTTAAAAAGTAGGCTAAAAACTTTCAATTTTCAAAAGACTTCAAAAAATTTTTTTAATCTAAATATTTAAAATAAACAATTATTTTCAGTTTAACTGTTCCCGATTTGACACCAAATGTTGGAATTTTTTGGTATTTCTTCACTCAGGTTGAAAAATAATCTTAAATGACAGCCAAAATTAATTTTAATATTTTTGTGGAGATATTTTAAATTTTATTTTTATTTATATAAAGTAGGGTTGGACAAAACCGTTTAGCTAAACGGTAGACGGTATACGATAAACGGGTTTTTTGGTAAAGTTAAACGGTTTTGTCTAACCCTAATGAAAATATTAAAAAATAAATTTAAAATTTTTTAAAAATATTTTTAAAGGTTTTCGACCATTATCGTTCATTATTCCTTTGTGTATTTCAATTAAATACAATTTTATATGTTGTACCTATAACTGTTTTGTTAAGGTAATTTTTAGTTAAAATAATTTTGAAAAAAAGAAATAATTATTTTTAGAAATAATCTTAATTTATTATTTTCAATTTTATTAATTGTTGTTGCTATATTTTCCCCATATCCTTCATATGCGGAGACTGCACTTTATTTGCCTGTACTTGTTGCATTTATTGACTTACATAAATGTTTGTAATTTTGATATAATTGAGATTTTCAGAAAAATATTTAAAAGCTAGGATTGGCACCCAGAATCTCCCAATTTACTCCCCTTAAGGAATTTGAAAATTATAAAACACTTTCTGGATTTGGAAATTATGTTTAGAAGTTTCTTGAATAATAAGTTGTTAGCAGTGCTTATAAATTTTAATTTTGGTCTCGCACTCAGGATGGCCTTTTCCAAATCACCAAAAGGAGGCACAGCTTCCCAAAAAGGGGCGAAATCGGCCAAAAACGGGGCAAATGCCACCCAAATGAGGCAAAAGAACCACACTGCTAGCACTAGTATTTGGTACCATAGTACGAGTACGAATTTTGGTACAAGGTATAAGCTATGGTTGTTAGGTTAATTTTGGCTCAATTGGTTAATTTTGGCTCTGTTAATTATTAAAATTTAAAAATTTTGAACCAAACTTTCCTATAATTAATTTAAAAAATAAAAAATTCCCCCCACAGATCTTCGCCAAAGTTTAGTAACTGGCTGTACAGTTTTGGCAACATTTATACTTTCCCCTATTATGTGGAGTATGTGGGTACATATCGGATCTGGAAATGCCAATTTTTTCTTTGCCATTGTTTGGGTATTTGCTATTGCACAAGTTGGAAGATTTTTTAAAAATAAAAGAAAATTTTCCTTTAAAAATCAGATTTTTATTGCTGCTGATTTAATAAGCTCATTTTTGCGTGCTGAAATTGTTGAGGATAATGGAGGGGAAGAAGAGATTGAAAAAAGATTTGAAGGAATTAAACTTTTAAATATTTGTCCATTTACTATATCTTTATAAATATTAGAAAATTTTCTTTTAAAAATCAGAAAAAAATTCCATTAGTCTGAGTTCCTAATAGTTAAGGAACTCAGACTAATGGAAATAAGGTCTATGAAATTTTTATGAATTTTTATTTAATTCTAATATTCGAAAGAAAAAAATCATATATAAATTATAGGTAGTGGGGGATATAACTAGTATTACCTAAAAAACTGCTGTCAGTTAATAATAATAAAACGACTGTCAGACTAATGGAAATAAGAAAAATAGATTTTGGCTTAAACAAAATGAATTATAACCATCACAGGTATAGTGTCCACTAGATAAATAAAAAAAAAAGTTCAAATAAGAATTCCAAATTTAATAAAGAATTCTAAATTAAAAATTTTGAAGATAATAATAATTTTTATTTTATTCCTAAATTAATAAGTGTATAAATTTAATTCAAATCAAAAACTGTCAATTATAGGTTTCGGTCTTCCACTAAAATAAATCTTCCTTCTAATGATTGCAACAACATCACAAGACTTTTTCTCTCCTTTTGAAGCATTTCCAGGCTTAAAAAATAAAATTTTTATATCTCCCTGCTACGTATCTCCCTCCCATTTTATTTCACTATCTAAGGGAGAAAATTCTTTAAAAATTAATCCTATACTTTTTCTTTTCGTTGAGAAGCTCGATTAATTACTAAAAAAGGTTTTTCTAATTCCACACATTCTCCTTGCAGTAATTGACGGCCAATAATTGTTTTGACATATTCCTTCCCGTCATCTTTCTTTTCCCACAATAATTTTCCAAAATTCTGACCATCAACTTGGTCATTAATTGTAAGAGTTCCCGGTAATTCCATCATTATCCACTCTGTAATTCCTTTCCTTAAAGTGATTTTTGTTGAAATTTTGAGAAATTTTTGTTTAATTTACTCATTTTTTACTAATTGAATTTGCATAATTTTTGTTGAGGAAATAAATAAATAAAGTAATTGTTCTTGAAAATAATTATATATCTGTAACATTAAAATAAATGTAATGCAGATCCAGTATTTGTCACAAAGGCTTTAAATTTTCCCCAAATTTTGTACATTCTTCATTTACCAACAATAAGACGTGTTGTTTAAACAAGTGGGAAGTCCTTGTTTCCAACAGACTCCATTTAATAATAAGATCGAAAAACACCCATAAAAATCCACCAAAACCGCTTGTTTCAACAAGTGAAATTCTTCAACTAAATAGACAAAATTGTTCACATTTTTCTTTTATATATTTTGATACTTTGCGACAAAGTGGCTCGCGACAAAATGTCCCAAATTTTTTGTCAAATTAATTTTTCGTAAAAATTTATTTTTTTTTCTCTTTTAAATTCCTAACTTTTAATCTTTTTGATTTTTAAGTGTTCTAGTAAATTAAATGGCAGAAGGAAATTCTTTATACGACGAGGTATTTTTTAATCTAATATTTATTTAAAAAAGGTATAATTTCGGAATACTAAATAGATTCCGATTGGGACAAATTGTATGTCATTCGACTCAGCTCGGCGAGCTGAGTCGAATGACATATAATATGTCCCAATCGGAGTCTGTTTAGTATTCCGAAATTATTCCTTAAAAAATATAAAATTTAGATTGGCTCCGAAATTAATGAAGCTCTCCAAATGTCGGGAAAATCTTTGGAAGAGCGTTATATGCATTTGGCTAGAGCCGAAGAAATGATTTTGAAACAAGACAATTCCTCAGTTCTTGACAACTTTTTGGATGAAATGGTTCAATTTATTCATGAAAGGGAACAGAAAATTCGCTGTTTTGCTATTAATTTTATTGAAAAGGCTTGGTATGTTTCTTTATTTTTTTATGATTTGTCTTTAATTTTATTGGTATATTTCTTTTGCTTTTTTAATTTCCTCGATTTTCGATAATTCCGGGCTTTGTCTCTCCCTTTTCCTTCTTTTCCTTAAGAATATTCACATGGTCAGCTTTTTTCTTCCTCTATCTTCACTATATTCATTTGTCATTTTTTTATAATTTTATTGGGTTATCTCTTTTGCTTTTTTTTATTTTACTATTTAAATTTTGACATCGTAAATAATGTGTTTAAGCGGTTTAGCACTTTAGTCTAGTATTGTTTAAACAATTATGTTCTCGTATATATAAATTAGTAGCAAAATTAATTTGTGGTTCTTCATTTTCTCTAGTATTTTTCCACATTTTTGTTAAGTTAGCTTCGACTTTCTTCACTAAATTAAATAAATTAAATTCAAATTTAAGTAAAAAAGACCCTGAAGTTTTTAAAAGAGCAATAGCAACACTTAGTTGGGCATTGACTGATCAGTCTGGAGGTGTTATTATACAGAAAAAGGTTTGGATTTATTTAAAAACAACTCAAAAAAATTAATTTTTAGGCAATAAATACTTGTACCCAACTTTATCCTGTTCTTCTCCGCTGGGCCTCACAAAAACGTTCAACAGATGATGAAGCAAAAAATTGTTGGGAAACATTTTCGATGCTTAAAAATAAAATAATGCAAACTGTTGACTCTGAAAATGAGGGAATAAAAACTATGGCCTTTAAATTTCTTGAAATGCTCATAATTTGTCAATTACCGAAAACTGAGGTATGTTGAGGGGTTTTATTTTAATTAAATCTGGTAGATGGCACTTAAATTTATTTTTGAATCTTATTGTTAGAAGAACAAAGTTATACCCTATTGATTTAATCTCTCTCAAACTGCACAAAAGGTTTCCCAGCTTGGTTCCAGCTTCATAATTTATTTAGATTTACCAAATTATCCATATTGATATCATTTGACACAGCTCAAACAGCTGTATCGAATGATATGTGATAAATTATATAGTAGATGAAGCAAAATAGCTCAAAATGGTCAGGGGTCAGGAAGAGAATGTTTGTCTAAACCGAAAATTTTTCTTTAGTTTTTTCCTAGAATGCCTTAACCTCTAGTAATGAAACATATTATGTTCGAAAATATTTTATTTTCGTCCATTGAGACACACTAAAATAACTATCCTTACATAAGTACTATACATCCTCTTTAAATTGTTTTTTTTTTGATCAACAAAAATTAGAAATTGCTAACTTTAATTAATTTTAGTTCAGTGAAACTCCAAGAACATCTAATCACCAAATTAGTTTGGACGAAATTGGACGTGATTCTTTTATTTCTTGGCGTCAATTACAATCAGAAGCAATTAAAAGTTTTAATTCATTAATTGAACATATGGCCTCTACTCACATTACTTCACTTAATTTAGTTACAGCAATATCCTCAACTTGTAATATAGCAAGGCAAAGACCCGAAAAAATGGCTGATGTAAATTTTTCTTTCTTAATTTTATCAAAATTATTTTTAGGTTGTCAGCGCCTTAGAACAACTTCATCTAAATTTACCTCCAACATTGGGAACCAGTCAAGTTAAAAGTGTGAGAAAAGAACTTAAAATGCATTTATTGAGAATGATGAAGCATCCTGGAAGTTTTACTTTACATAATTTACATGCAAGAATGAAACAACTTTTGATAGGTATTTATTTAAAATTTAGTTAATTATGATGCGGCTTACAATTGTTTATTTCCAGTTGGGTTATAGAAAGCTTTGTGGGAGCAGGCTGCACGCAATTGCAAAAATCCCGCATTTGACGCAATTTCTGCAACTCGTTATCCTTATTTGCGTGCAGCCCTGTTTGGGAGGCTTCATTTCTACCTTTGTTGCTTTAGGCATCATGTCAGCGTTTATAACAAAAAAATTTTGGCTTATATCACCCACATATTTAGCCTATTTTTTTGGGATTTCAATGCTTTTTATTTTTCATAGAATTGGGCGCAACCCCATCAGAAATTCAAAAAGCAATGCCTGGCCCAAACGAAATTGATGCAGCTCTAAAAAGAAGACTTGCAGCTGCAACAGCGGCTAGGAAACTACAACAAAGTGAATCTGGAACAGACGAGAAGCCATCTAGAAAAAAGCCTCATAGCGGTGAAAAGCTGTCAGATTCGCTTCAAGATGAGGATTTGGATTTGAGGGATACAAAGAGATTGAAGGTTTTTAAATAAATTTTAATAATTTATTTTATTTTTGAAAGTTTTTTTAGTTGGGGGAAGATGAGGATTATGATGATGGAACTATTGATCTTTATAGACAATTGGATGACCCTGATTCTGCCAGTGCTGCTACTCAAAAGGCTATTGACATAACTACAGAATTTGTATTGGAAAGGCTGTCGATTTCTGTTGTTAGTTATTTTAAAGAGTTACTTAAAAAATTGAAAAAAAAATATTTTTTTAATTGGGATTCTCAATTTTTAACAAAATTTCGGCTCTTTTCCTGTTTATGGGGTTTCCTCTTTTCCTGTTTATGTTTGCTGCAAGATACACTCTGTTAATAATGTATAAGCACCCCTAAAATTTTTGTGAAAATACATGATCCCTAGGCATTATTTGTTTTATTTTTTTCCTACATTATCAGGGATCCAAAACATCAGTAAAAATAAAGTTTCAAAAAATTTTATCGCTTTAAACATTTTAAAATTGAAATTTCTCGAAATTAACGTGTTAAGAAAGTATAAGCACCCCTGTAAAAATTTAGTTTCTACTGATTTTAAAATTCTACAAAAAATACAGTAAATATGTCTATCGATATTATGGAAAATAAAAAAAGAATTAGGCCAATATCTCATTCCAGTGTCGAGATCTCGAACCCTTAAAATCAACGTAAAACAAGGTTTTTCAACTTCAAAAAATTTTTCGACCCCTTATGGTTTGTTTCGATTTTTCATTATGAGCTCATTCGAAAGCCCTTTAAATTTACTACAAGTAGCATAAGTTTTATTTTCCAAAAAAATTATTTCAGCAAGTTATTAAGTTTTAAATTTCTAAGGCACAAAAAACGTCCAAAATACCCCATAAAATTAGCTCTGGAGGATTAACGCCCTGTAACTCTCTATTGAATTTTTTCTGAGATATATAAATATCCCTATCTTGTAGCAAATTTAAAGGGCTTTCGAATGAGCTCATAATGAAAAATCGAAACAAACCATAAGGGGTCGAAAAATTTTTTGAAGTTGAAAAACCTTGTTTTACGTTGATTTTAAGGGTTTGAGATCTCGACACTGGAATGAGATATTGGCCTAATTCTTTTTTTATTTTCCATAATATCGATAGACATATTTACTGTATTTTTTGTAGAATTTTAAAATCAGTAGAAACTAAATTTTTACAGGGGTGCTTATACTTTCTTAACACGTTAATTTCGAGAAATTTCAATTTTAAAATGTTTAAAGCGATAAAATTTTTTGAAACTTTATTTTTACTGATGTTTTGGATCCCTGATAATGTAGGAAAAAAATAAAACAAATAATGCCTAGGGATCATGTATTTTCACAAAAATTTTAGGGGTGCTTATACTTTATTAACAGAGTGTAGACTTCTTTTCCTTTATTTTCGATTAGTTTAGGATTTTTACACATATTAATTTTTTTACTTACAAAAATTATAACTTTTTGGGTCTCCAAGCTTGTGATAATTAGCCTTTACACCCTCCCTGACGAAATGCCTCCAGCTTTTGCTAGCAGCTATACCCCAATTGATGAAGTTGGAAGTGAGGCACAAAAGCGTCATCTTGCAAGGATGATGGCTATTCAGATGACTAGAGAAGGAGAGGGGCCGGGTGTTGAATATATTAAAGCAGAAAAACAAAAACAATTTGTTGAGAAACAATCAGCTGCTAGGTCATCTGAAGTTAGTGATAAGGAAAAGTCTAATGATGAAACTAAAAAGGTTATCGATGAGGGAACTACATCTTCACTCGTACAAACTGCTCAGGTTTTGGATTTTATTCAACTATACCTCGTTTTTGTGAGAATTGGGGTTGTGGTTTTCGAGGCGGGCCGTCGTTTCTGTCATTTTTCGGGCCGACCCGATCAAGTTAGGCCAAAATTCGATGCCCGACTCGATTTTTCGGGCCCCACCTTAATGAGAATACAAGAGAATCATGAACCTTGCGTAAAATTACATCTCTGACTTTCTTTACATTATTTTCTGTTGTTTGAGATTTTTTGAGAATTCCCTACTTATTGTTAACTAAAACTCGAAAATATTTTTCAGCCACCAACAACCCAAAAAACTCGAATTCAAAACTGGACTCTTTTCAACGCTACAAGGGAACTTTTCCACAAAGAATCGGAGCAACTACAACTTGATATTTTTCAAAGGATACTTGGAAATGAGAAAAGAGCTGTACAAGGCGGGGCTGGTTTAGCTCAACAAAAATTACTAATTAGATTGTGTACACGCTTTCGATCCGCCTTAACTTCTGAATTGGAAGCTACTCTACTTAATTATGTTATTGAAGAACAAAAAACACGTGTTGATTTGGCACTTCTTCATTTAGCCGAATTATATGCTCAAATGATGGGGTTAATATTTTTTAAATTTTAAACTTATTTTTCAAGATATTCCACTTTGGTTTCTCCCAAAGCTTTTAATCAATTGACGAATGAAGAAAAAAAGCAACGCTATGATACGTATTTGTGTACCTTACTTTCGACACTTCATGAGAGAGGAGAACACAAGGAAACGTTAGTTTATTTGGTATTTTCTGACCATTCCCTTACTCTACTTATAATGTTATGTTTATTTAAGAAGATTCTTTTAAGAACTAAAGAGAAATAAAAAGTTTTGGGGATAATTGGATTTATTTTTAATATGTGAATTTTGTGGAACTCATAATTATTCTTTCCTTGACAATGGGAGCCATTATGATTTCTTGTGGATCATATAATTTTTTGTTCCATTAATTTTCTTTTTATTTCAGTCTTTTCCACCGAATTTTCCTCGAGGCACCTTTTTTAACATCTGGTTCATTGAAAATCCTCAGGAAGGCTTGCCTCGACAAAGTATACGGCGCTTTTGCAATTACTACTCTTCGTGAGCTAATTTTGACTCGAGCAAGACAACGACAGGAATTACTCCGATTACTCATAGAATTTAGTTATTTTGAACGCGTTGATATTCGAGAGCATGTAAAAAATTTTATAAGTTTTTTAAAATTCTCTTATGACCATAAAACTTTCTTTTGGTTATTTCGATCTTAAATCGTGCCAATGGGATTTACAAATTTCCTCCCCTAATATAAATATTTAAAAAGAATTCTTTATATATTTTGAACTTTTTTAGTGTGTAAAAACAATCAAAGAACTTTATCAGCTTGATTTTCTCCGTTCTGATGTCCGTGGATTTTTAGTTGAAATGTCAGAATTACTTGTTGCACCAACGGCTCCCAGGGTTATTTGGCACGCAAATGGACGTTTGGCTAGAGAACTTGAGGAAATAATTGATGAAATGCCATGGGATGAATCCCTTATTAGGGCTGGACTCTTCCTATTTTTGTCATTGTTGCCACAAGAGCCTTCTTTATTGAAGCAATTGGCTTCGGTTTATGCTAGAGCAGGAACGGAGATCAAAAGGGTACATTTAACTTGTTTATCAAAATGCTACAATTCTCTGATTTATAAAAACAATAAATTAAGTATTATCCTAGTTACAAAAACTAGTCGGCGTTGGGCCCCAAGGGTGGCAACCCACTCTTGCGCCCGAACCACCAACTAAATAGAAAGCTCTCTTTTTAAGGGTTTATCCAACAAATAAATTTATTAAAATAAAAGGGAGAGAGAACCGGCCAACTTTTGGGTCGATGTGAAAACTGAGATTGAATGAATCTATTTGGCCGGTTCTCGTTCTCCATTGAAAATGGGCGTAAACAATCATTCTTAATTATGACATTAAGATTCTGTGAAATTTTTGATTTTTTATTTATTAAGGTAACTTTTCGCAGTATAGAACAAGCCATCAAAGCAATAGGGATGCACTCAGAAGATCTTTTAGATATGATTGAAAATTGTCAACCTGATGCTGAAACTTTGGTTGCTCGAATTGTTCACTTGGTTTTTCAAGAAATTTAATAAAGGAATTTTTTAATTTTTTAAAGTTAACTGAAAGAAATGCCCCAACACCAGCACTCGTTGATCGTGTTCGAAAATTACATCAGGCGAGGAATACTGATGTTAGATCATTAATTCCAATTTTGAATAGTTTAAAAAAGGTTTCTTTATTAAGAGCTAAGGTCTAATTTGGAAAATTTTTTAGGAAGAACTTATAGAATTGATCCCAAGTTTTGTTCTCTCTGCTAAAAATAGCAATTCTGTTCCTATATTTTTCAAAAAACTTCTTTTTGGACGACATACAGATACAAATCAAGCTGTTTTGAGCCCTTTTGAGTTGTTGCTTGAATTACACAGACTTAAGGCAAATAGAAAGGAACAAGGATTTCTCATGCAAAGTTTGTAGTTTTTTGGATTTCGAAAGTTACTCATTTGAATTTTAGATCTTGATATTCTGTTAGTTGACACTGCCCGGGAATTTTCTTTTGGAAAAGATGTTTTGGCTATTGCAATAGAAACACTTATAAACGACAAAGTTTTCCCAGTTATTCTCTTCTATACAATCCAAAAAGTGAATGAAGCACAGCCTACCTTAAATGGATTTTTAACTGGTTTATTAGAAAAGATTGCACAACGAAAGCCGTGGACTGAAATTGAGGGGGATGATTCTGCTAGAGAAACTATTTGGCATAAATTTGAAATTTGTTCAAAAGCTTTGGGATCAAATGTGCACACTGTGAGAGTGATTTTTTTAGAAAATTTTATGCTAGAGGCCGGTAAAATCGCATTCCCGGGATCCCGAAACGGGTTTCTTTTCAAAAAATTTTGCGTGACAGGATCCCGCGGGATTAATCCCGTTCGTCGCTTAAAATACGGGATTTCGGGACAGGATCCTGTAAAATCCCGTATGGGATTCTGTCCCGTGCCGAACTCTAATTTTAGCCTTATTCAATTTACATCTGTTTCTCCTGTCTTTATGCTTCTCAAATTTTGAGTTATTCTTTATTCATTATTTTCCGACTCATAAGCATTTTATAAGTTTAAAATTATTTTTTTGATCCCACCTAATAATTTCGATTTTTAGCTTGTTAATTAAGAATTTCACTAATTCTTATTTTAAATAATTCTTAAATAATTTTTAGCGTTTTCCCCACTCAATATTACAACCTGAAACAAATGTTGATATTCCCACTACTGTTGTTGATAAATTAGAATCAACTGAAGAAAAAGAAATTTCAATGGAAGAAGATAAGCCTTTATTAAATGAACAAATAACAATAGAAAATTAGGAAGCTAACCCTGAAAATTCTCTAAAAATTTCCTTTGATCTCCTATTTTATTTTTTTGTTTAAATTTTTTTTATAAAATTTGTATTTTTTTATAAATTTATTGTATTTCAGTCGTTTGTAATTTTACAAATTTAAATATTTTCTAATTAATATCCACATAATTAGATTTTTAGAAAAGAAAATGGTTGTGTATCAAGTATGGCAAACAATTAAATCACAACATTTAAAAAGCCCTAAACTCTTTACTTTTGCAGGTTTTTAATTTTTGTAATTTTTTCTTTTTTTAAACAATTAACTTTTGCAGCGATTTTTGATGTTTCTGCTTTAGCTGGAGGTTATTGGATTTGGAAACAATTGCGCCATAATGAAGAAAGTCGTTTTTATTGTTTTGAAAATTATCCTAGAGTTTTGGGAGTTTATTATTGGGGTTTAAATGTCCTTTCGTTTGGAGAGCGTTTGGGTGATAAACAACAAGACTATGATATTGCAAAGTGGATTTATAGAGATGTACAGGATGGAAAAGTTAAAATTTTTAGAATAAAATATCTCCAATTATTGCTATAGTAAAGCAGCTGGGCTATAACTATTTCTGTCCTTTAGCTAGTGAAAAGTTTAATCGGCGGCTGGGTGCGAACGAGATCTTCAGTAGACTAGACCGATGTGTTATCCATTACACCCACGCCGCCTACTGCACAGCCTTAGGAATTAAATAGCTGTAGGCTTTACACTATTAACAAAATTATTTTTGGGTTAAATTTGTAGAATATGTATATTTTATATTTAGTTTTGACTCAATACATAAAATATTTTGGTTCCGTGGGGGCTCGCAGTATTATTGAAATATTTTTTAAAATTTATTCCAGTTATAATAATGAAATTTTCGTTTTGTGATCTTAAGTTAGAAATTTAAATAAAAATTTAGAAAAAAAGATCTTAGGGAAAAGGTCTGTTTTTAGTCCTTTTAGTATTATTTTTTTCCAATTTTCCCCTATTGTATTAAATTCCTCAAAACTAAGCTTAAGTGAGATTTTCTATTCAATTTTTATCTCCGAGTTCCAACAAACTTACATACTTTCTAATATTTTTATTTTAAATTTTTTAGCTGGAACACTTTTATCTGATATATGGGAAGAAGAAAATGAAAAACCTGTTGAGAAAGTTAAAAGGCCAAGACTGAAAAGATAAATTTATTTAATTTTCATTCGAAAATATTTAGCTATATTTTGTTTACATTTTTTAGTTTATGTTTAATTTAAATCTTATGTTAAATAATAATTTAATTAATTTTTTGAGGGTTACGTCCTAAAAAATATTTTTTTAATTTTTAATTCATTTAGATTTTATTTTCAAAAGTTTTATCTAAAATCAAGGTGAAAGATTGTCTAGAAGAAGTTGACCTACTTTTTATGTTTAAAGTTGGAGGTTGGAATACTTTTTTTTATTGGAACCCAGAATTCTTTTTCAAAATTAAGTTACTGGTTTAAAAATATGCTAGGGAAGGAATGGGAGATTTAGTGTTGTGTAGGAGACTTCTATGTATACGTACTAACAAGAATAACAAGATAAGACAGTAACTAACAACTTTACAAGACTAAATACAATAGTAGTGAACAATAGAAAATGGTTAACGTCGAATATGTGGAGCACTAGAATAAGACTGACCGAATAGAATGACTAAGAATAACACTAACGAACACTAACACACGAATGGCCAAAGCTGCTGCCTTTTTATACTAAGCACAGACCCAACATTTATTGTCTGCTCCCTATCTTTATTTTTGTTTAATAAGAACTCCATTACATTTTTAATATTTTCAGAATCAAAAAATGGTAACCGAAGGTCACATGCGAATGTTTGCTAGTCTTCTTGCTGCATGCGGCTTTATCTACACAGTCAATTATTTAATTAAATTAGACAATAGAAGTATAGAAACAGACCCTATTCCAGCTGCTTCTTGGAAATCCTATGTTGAAATTATGAAAAAAATGGGGAAAGAACCTTAAAATAATTTTACAAATTTGTTTAAAATTTTTGTTTTAGATTAATAAATTTTTTGGATTTAAAAAAATTTTTTTCTTGGAATTTCCGATTTAAATATTCGGAAAAATATTTTATACCATTTTTCAATTTTTATTTAATTTAAAGTTTAGTTAATGGAGAATTCAAATGAAAATGACACAGAAAATGAGGGGGTAGGATTTTTATATTTAATTAAAAATATTAATTTTTTATTATGGAATATGTACATTATTATGTGACAATATTTATTGGAAAAATTTTTAGATTAAAATTTAAACCCTCTCCGGTCAATATCAAGTACCGAAAATGCTCGAATACCATTTTTCAATTGACCCTGGGTCATTAATGTTTCGACCTTTTGCTAGAGGGAGTAATTAATCGAGAGGAGGTGCTAAATTTGGGGTATATCTTAATAGATCGAGGAGGGAATCGATTAATTTTTTGATATCGATTCTTATAATGTTTCAGTTAAAAATGGCAATGATTTTTTCATTATTTTTAAAATTTGTGTTGAAAAAAGAGGGGGGGGGGGTAATTATTTGAGAGAGGGTAATTAATCGAGCATTTAGGTATTCACATTAGATGACTAGGAAAAAACATCAATTTTTGAGAAAGCAAATTTTAAATTTTAATTTTCAATATTTTCTCAGCCTCAAAATTTAAAAATTTAATTTATTAAAATTTTAAGACGGAAAGAAGAAAAATATCAATACTAGATTTGGAATTAATTGCTCCAAACAAACAAATTATTAAACAATTAATTTTATTAAATTCTATTGCTTTACCAATCAATTTTGGGGATATAAATTCTGTGCATTATAAACAAGTACTTAAAAATGAATTGGCAATTGAAGGAGTGGAAAGTGAAGATGATGAAGATGAACGTAGGGAAATTGTTTTTTTTGAGAGAGGGATTTCTTTCTAGAAAATTTTGGGTTAATAGTAGGGGTGCCAAAATGGATCGACTCGAATGGCCCGGGAAGATTCGTACGGCCGACTCGATAAAAACGAGGCTCGAAAGTGACCCGTCAGATCCACTCGAAAATGGTAACCCTAATTAGAAGGATAGTTTATATATTTTCGGGAGACGCTAACTGACCAGCAAAAATTATTTAATTGTAAAATCTGACTTTTTTGTGAAAATTTGTAGTTTCCGGGAATACCATTTTTGGGTGATTTTTGATGGATTTTTTTTTGATTTTTAAATTTTCTATTTGTCTGTCCAAATATAAAGAAAAAAATTTCCCTTTTTTAAAGTTAAAACAAAATATTGGACAATAATGGCTTATTATAAAAATGCTTTAGTTGGTGCAATTACTGTTTGTATAGAAACAATTTATTCTCAAAAAGAAAATAATTCCAAAAAATGTTTATATATTCTTACTTTAGCGTAAGGGAATTCTATAAAAATTATTTAAAAATTTAAATAATTTTCAGTGTTATCCCTTCTTTTCGTCGTCGTGGTGTAGCGAGTATTCTCGTTTTGGATACAATTAATCATTTCAAACACAAATGGAAAAATATTAAAGTGAATTTTTGTGACTTTTTTGATTTAAAAAAAAGAGAAAAAATTTCTTTTTTCCAGTATAACCTGTATTAGTTGCCCTCACTCTAATAATTACATCACTTCCATTAATTACTCCCATCCAGCGATGGATTGAAACAATAATTACCCCCAATAAATGCCCTAAAATACGTTCAAATTTCAAACCTCTTATAATTACCCTCCCTCGATTAATTACTCCCTCCAGTGGAAGGTCGAAACAATAATTACTCAGGGTAGTTATTAAAGGATATACTGTATTTTCCTCATTTTCTCCCTAAAAATTTGTTTTCTTCCAAAAATTCTAAATTTTAATTAAATTATTTGAAATAAATTTTCTTTATAAAAAATAAAATTTTCAATATTAAGCAAATTGCCTTACATTGCCAATCATGTAATGAACCTGCCTTAGCTTTTTATCAAAAACTTGGATTTGTACAGACCGAATTTATAGCTAATTATTATTTAATTTGGAGAATTGTAAAGCCTGATGCTTATAGACTTGAATTTTTTTATTTAAAAGAGGAAGAAGAAGAAGAAAATAAATAAAGAATTAAATAGATTTGAGAGAATCTTTATTTAATTTTGTTTTAAACTTTTCAATTTTTTTGATTATTTTCTGTGTGTATGTATATCAAGGATCGTACCGACTTGTCTCATGAAAACTTAATTAACGTTTTGTCTTGACAATATCCTTAACAAAACTTAAATTTTAGTATTGGGTAATTAAGCTATTTTTTCTTGATTATCTGATGTTTACTTAAATGTTGTTCTTTCAATAATAATTTTTTGTAAATTTTTATTTAATTTTATTATCCACATTTTGTTCATTTTGATAAATTTATTTTTTAAAGATAAAAAAAATTTATTTAAAAAATATTTTTTATTGAAAATTTATTTATGTTATTTTCCAAAATATTAAATTTAGTCTTACTCATTTTCTAGTAAAAATGCCTGTTGGAAGTCAACCTTCTCCATCTGCCATGTTCGGTCCTTATGGCCGTATACAACAAACAACTCCGCCACTTAAAGGATCGTTTCCTTTAGATTATGAAAAAGAATGTCATTTACAAATGCTTAAATATATGGCTTGTTTAAATGTAAATTTTAAATGAATAAGGAAGGGTTGGGAGCCAGATCGCGGAATACATGTCCGCAAAAGGCATTTTCCAAAAGAAATTTTTTAGCCTCTCCTTTAGTTTCCGTCAGATAAAAAATGATAGGTGACAGTTTGGCGTTGTTTCTGAACTTCATTTAATCAACTTAGGGAAACTAAAGGAAAGAAAGGCAGAGGAGTAGATGTAGGCCGATTTGTGGACATGTAGGCCTCAGCAGACCTGTGCATGGATACGGATATGGATACGAATAATATCAGAATGCCTGCGGATATCCGTCTGTATCCGCCGTAAATATCCGGATATGGATACCAAAATCCGTGTCCATGTACAGGTCTGGGCCCCGAGCTGGACATTTACCGGATTCGAGATTAGGAAAAAGACTAAAATCTCGTTAATTTCATAAATATAACAGTTTATTTTCGGCCAGTGTTTTTTTAGATCTGATGGTTAAAGAGAGATAGTTAAAATTACTAAAATTTTAAATTTTAGAAAGAAAAAAGTCAAAACGGCCCTTGTCGTATATTTGCAAGAGATTATTTCAAATGTCGAATGGATAAAGGGTTAATGGATTCTGAAGAGTGGGAAAGACTTGGTTATGCCGATATTGAAGATAAAAATAATTTAAATAATTCTGAACAAATAAATATTAAAAATCAAAACAAAAAATGAGAAGAAAGGAACTGTTAATGATTGAATTAGAAAATTCTGATTTTTTTTTGATTTTATTGTTGAATAAATAAATTTGAGGACATGAAATGTTTTTTTATTACTTTGGAATTCTTTTTAAATAATTTAAAATAAATTTTAATTTAAATCTCTTCATCTTTTTGTTTCTTATTTTACTTACACTTTTATTCAAAAATTTTTTCAATCCAAAATGTTTGCGTAGAATAGAGGCCCGACTGTAATTTTTTTAAAATGTCCAACTTTTCCCTTCTTGTCCACTTTTACCTTTAATTATTTATAGGCGTTATTCCGTAGTTTTCTACGTCAAAAAGTGTACTTATGTAGCAGGGATTGCGCCGACCCGATTCACGAAAATCGTGAATTCCCGCGATTTTTGGCTCGTGAATTCACGAAAAATGAATTCGAAATTTTCGTGAATTCACGTTCCCGATCCACGACATTTTTTCTGAAAATCGGAAAAAAATCGGGAATTTTTATTAATTATTGGAGCTAAAAAAGGAAGAAATCTGGTAATTTGGTCTTCAAAAAATCGGCGCTGAAAAATGGAGAAATCCACTTATGTCAGAACTCTATGGTATGGACCACCAACATTATGAGTAAATCTTCAAATCCTCTTGCTCCTACAAAACGCCCTAATATCCTCCCTCAATCCTTCTTTATTACCTCAAATCCCTTTACCTTGATACACTGATATCACTTAAATATCCCTTAATTAAGAACCCCTCAATTCAATCCCCGTACTTCTAATCTCTCGTACATTTAACCCTCGTAATTACTTCTAATCCGCCAACAAAAAAGCAAAATACCCAAAATTCCCGAAAATCGTGAATTCACGACGATTCTTGGCTAGGTGAATTCACGACTCACGAAAATCGTGAATGGAATTTGGTTTAATAAACAAAAACTTTAATTAACATTAGAGGTCGGCAAAATCGCACTTCTTCGATCCCGTCGGGATTTTTTTTTCTTAAGCGATGCCGGGACGGGATCCCGTCCCGCGCCGACCTCTAATTAACATACACAATTAAAAATGTTTAAAAAATATTTTTTCACAAAAATAGATTTTGCCGTCCTCTTTAGCTTAATCAATTAAATATTTGTCTATCACTCATGATTATGTAATTATTTTTCTCTACATTTAATTCATATGACTGGCTTTATAAAATTTTTAAAAATATATTTTATTCATCAATCATTTACAGTCAAAATAAAAAAATTAGTTTTTCTTAAAATGTCTGCTAAAATTTTTATTATTTTTGTTGTTTTTACCGTTGTTTTTATTCATTTATGTTGTATGGGGGGAAAAGATATTGGAAGAAAAACTTTAAAAAAACAGAATAGCTTTCCAAAATCTACATATACACCACCCCCAGGTTAATACATAATAAATGAATTTAAAAATTTTATCAGTTAAAAATTTTTCAAGTTTTCTAGAGTTATTCTTAAATATATTTTACTGGGGTATTTATTTAATTAAATTTTATTTAAATTTTTGTTGAACTTAAAAGTTTTATGTGTTTAGACACATAAACTAGTAAAGGTTGGTTAGTAAAAATTAAAAAAAGTAGAAATTTTTGGATAGTAAAAATTTTTATTTTGTTTTTAAAAACAACATTTAGACACCCTACTTCTAGAAAAGGGACTAACATATGTTTTTTTAAACATTTTTATAAATTAAGGGGCTAGTGGCCATAATAACACGGAAGAGAAAGGTAAAACTAAAAATGAAAATAAAGAAGAAAAACCTAAAAACAAAAGGAAGGAAGCCGAGTCTGATTTAGAGGAGGGTGAATTTAACCCTAAATATTACAAATATACATCAAAACAGAAATTGTGGACTGGTTAATTTTTTAACCAATGAAGATGTTATTGAAAGAATTGAATTTTATTTATCCAACTTTTTTTATTTTAAATCCTAAAAGCAATTGGTTGCATAAAAGTCAGATACAAGATTCATTGCATTATTAGTATTTGTTAAGTTATTAAAAAACTACAGTTTATTAAAGTAAAGACTTCGATATCTTTCTCTCATTAACTTTTTATTTGTTCTTCTTTTTAAATATTTTCCAACTTTGATAAAATTTTGATAAAAAATATTTACTCAAATTAATATAATACATTAATTTTTAACGAATATTTATTTAATGTTTAATTAATTTTGCTAAACTTTTAAAAATATGTACCGTATTTATCCTAATATAAAGACAGTCTCTATTATAACGACATTCTCCAATATAACGACACCCAAAAAGAGGGTTGAAAATTAAAACGACATCTCGTTATGTTAGAATAAATACGGTATTTTGATCATTAAAAGAGGTCAATCGAACATTGAAATGATTTTTTGTAAATATTTTGACAGGTTATTTCAAGATGGAGCTTGACATCAAATTGACAACCTTAACAATTATATAGGTATTTACTCTCTAAAATAGGGGAATAAAAAGTTGGAGACAAACATTTGCGGACATGCGGGGAGATATTCCCAAAGTACCAAAATATTTTATATAACATTTATTCAATTATTGTGGATTTATTTGTGAACGATTAAAAATGGCATTTCGATATGGTGTGTTTGTTAAAATACAAATAATTGGGTTAAATACAGGTATTAAATGAAAGGAAATGAAAATTAATATTCGAATAAAATTGGTTGTATTGTTATTTATTCTAAAAGTAAGATGGAAAAATAAAATCCCTGCTTGATTGATAAATGGTACAAAAGCCTAAAAATATTATTTTAAACAAATTTTCAATAAGAAAAATTTACCAAAAGAATCAAAACTTTTGTTAAAAGTTTATTCAGTCTTTTTAGCTCTCCATCAAAATTAGTGTTTAAATTGACATATCTAACCATTTTGAATCCACAAATAATAATTATTATATAAGGAAGAGTTTGTGTTATAGCCATAGGATAAAGTGCCAAGACGCTCATCTTTTTGTTAAAAAATTAAAAAAAAATTAATTTTTAGAAAATACTTTTTCCACTTCACCATACTCAATAAACGGCCAAGTTTTGTTAAAATTATCAAAATATTTAATCCCTCCAAAAGAATATGGACTGATGAACAAAATCGCATTTAAAAGATATAATAGCGACACAAATAAGGCAAAGGACAGCATAAATAAATAACGACGAATATTAATTTTCATATTCCTAATAATATTTATTTATGAAAAGATTTTTAATATTATTTTTATTTATTTGGGTTGAAACATTAATAAATTAACCATTCAATTTTGAAAATTTATATCTCAATTTTCTGATCTCCAATTATTTTTTTTTCAAATTTGAACTGGATCGCGTAAATTAATTTCTGTCAGATTGGCATTTGGCTTTGGCATTCGACTTGTTAATTAAATACCTATTTATTTTTTTATTTTTAAGGTCAGGCGGCGCAAATGTCGTGGCGCAGAAGAACTCCACATTTTCTGTTATTGCAGATTTTTTTTCAAATTCATTGACAAAAGTATTGGCTCTTGTCCAGTTCATGTGTCCCATGAAGATTTATGAGTCCCAAGAGAATTTATGAGTCCCATAAAAATTTATGCGTCCCAAAAACAATTTACGCGTCCCATAAAAATTCATGAGTCCCAAAAATAATTTATGCGTCCCATGAAATTAATTGAAAAAATATTCAAAAATAAAAAAAACTCCTCCAAAGGGGAGTTGTACAATTTAAGTAGGGAGTGCTAATTCAAGGGGGAGTACTATTGGATATCAGTGATTTGGACTATTGGTACTATTGATATTATTATTTGGATATCTGGTTATTTTTGGATTAGAGGAACGATATCCCCAAAATCCACTTTTGCCCCACCATTAATCGGATTATATCCTTTAATCCTCGAAATATTTTATTGAAAAATCGAAAAATCAAGTGAAACCGACGGCTCTTGTCCAGTTCATGCGTCCCATGAAAATTTATGCGTCCAATGAAGATTTATGAGTCCCATAAAAATTTATGCGTCCCATGAAAATTTATGAGTCCCAAAAATAATTTATGCGTCCCATAAAAATTTATGCGTCCCAAAAATAATTTATGCGTCCCTTGAAATGTATTGAAAAAATATTCAAAAATTACAAAATTTTGGCTAAGTCGCCGACTCTGATAGGTCTACTTAATGTCATATCTTTGTCAAATCTTGTCCAATCACGTTTATTTTGGTGTCATTCGACTCAGCTCGATGAGTTCTTTTGAATGAGCTATCATTCGTATAAATTCCAGTTCCTATGATTTTGCGTCCCGGTGGTTCAGGGGTCTGTATTTCGGTCAAATCAAGTCGGATTTTTTCGATTTTGGTGTAATTAGACAAGCTCGATGTGTTCTACTTTTTTGTATAGACTGACCATTTTTACATATTTTCTAAAAAATTGACTGGGGGGGCTCGTTGACCCAAAAAATTTACTCGTTGGCCCTTGAGCCAGGCTTTATAACAAACACATTTTTTAAATGTTTTTTTAATTCTGCAATATTTTTTCAATTCATTTCATGGGACGCATAAATTTTTAAGGGACGCATAAATTATTTTTGGGACGCATAAATTTTTATGGGACGCATAAATTATTTTTGGGACGCATAAATTTTTATGGGACGCATAAATTATTTTTGGGACGCATAAATTTTTATGGGACTCATAAATTCTCTTGGGACGCATAAATCTTCATGGGACGCATGAACTGGACAAGAGCCAAACTGACAACGCTACTTATAATAAATAAAATAATTCAATGAGTCTTATTATTTTTTCGAATATAGGGGAAAAACATTTTAGGAGGAGTACTATTTTGGGGTACCAATTCAGGGGGGAGTACTGTTTTTCAACTCTCCTCCAAGGGGGAGTATTATTTTGCGAAATACCGTATTTGAGTAACAAAGTATTTGATTAACAAGAAAGATTTGATTAACAAGAAAGAAGAAAAAGATTTTTCAATTTATTTCATGGGACGCATAAATTTTTATGAGACGCATAAATTATTTTTGGGACTCATAAATCTTCATGGGACGCATAAATTTTCATGGGACGCATGAACTGGACAAGAACCAAAGTATTGACGGAAAGTCAATTGACGGAAATTCTATTGGCGAAAAGTCGTGCCACCCTCTAGTTTCAACCAATAGTATTACTATTATTACTTCAACCAAGTATTACATATTACCTATTCAAAACTAAATATCTATAAACAAATTGAACAGTCAATCCACTCAAATTTAGATAACCAATATATTGCCAAGCTGTTAAAACAATATAACACATAAATGGGTTAAAATTTTCTTTCATAAAACTAGGCAAAATGGTAATGGAATTTTCGTCTTTGGAACTTACGTCTCCAAATTTTCGGAATTCTCATCTCCAGCGGAATATTCGCCATCAAGTCAAAAATCGGAATTTTCGTCTCCAGGATTTTAGGCACGGGGGATTGAGGGCGTTGGAGTAATTTTTTGATTTATTCGAAAAATACCACAAACTCAAACAACGTAAACTTATGGAGGACGGCAAGGCGCTTGTGCAATTTTGCGGCACGCGCCTCGCGGGAGTCATAGGTCGCTGAGTTCTAAAATAGTAACATAAACCTATCCTTTTTACTGATTTTAGCATTGAAATGCCGTAAAATCCCCGCGCCTAAAACTCAAGTGACGAGTATTCCGTTTTTTGACTTGTTGACGAATATTCCGCTGGAGACGACAATTCCGAAAATTTGGAGAAGAAAGTTCCGAGGCGAAAGTTCCAAAGATGAAAATTCCGTACAGTAGCAAAATTCCATTGGGAAAAATAATATATGCTTTCCCTTCTGTGTCGAATACATAAAACTGTAATTTTTAATGTTTTGAGAATATTTTATGATTTAATTACCTCTTGAATAAACATTTGAACAATTAACAATAAAATATCCAAAACACAATTTTGTATCAGAATTCTGCTGTGTATTTTCATTTCTTTTGGGGTTTTAAAAATAATTAAAATAATCAGAATAATATTTAAAGGAAACCCAATTAATAAACAGACAAAATAATCAAATTTAAATAAAATATCAATTAAATCTATTGACATTTTTAGTTTAATTTTTTTAATTTAAAATAATTTTTTGAATGATAAAGTAATAAAAACTTATATAATGGGTTGTCAGATAAATAATGAGCCCTTTTCGCACACCTACATAGAATTTTTAATTATATACAAAAGATATTTCTGAGAAAATTTTTTTGTTTATTTCAAAATTTATTGTGACATTTTAATTGTTTGGTTAAATTTTGTCTGAGAAAGTTAGTCTAGACTAAAGTAAAGTCTATAAACTGTAGGTTTTGGAGAAAAATGTTTTTAAAAATACAACACTTAAACACTAGGATTTCACCGGAACCGAAATTTTGACCGGAACCGGAAACTCCGGCGAAACCCTATTAAACACCTTATTTCTAGAAAAGGAACTAAAAGATGTTCATTTTTATAAATTAAGGAGCAACTACGAGTTACCATAATAATACGGAAGAAGAGAAAGGCAAAACATTTAAAATATCAATTAAACTAAAAACATAAGGGAAACAGACGAGTCTGATTTAAGGTTGGCGGTTCCGGTTATCCGGAACCGAAAAAAGACCGGATAACCGAAAATTTTCGGTTTGGTTATCGGCTCCGGATAACCGAAGATTTCCCAGGAACCGCCAACTTTAGTCTGATTTAGCGGAGGGTAAATTTAACACTAATAAATACAAATATACATCAACATAAATTATTAATTTTTTAACAAGTTAAAAAATTGATAAAAATGAAAAAGTTACTGAAAGAATTGAATATCCCAATTTTTTTTATTTTAAATCCTAACAGCAATTAGTTGCATACAAGTCAGATACAAGATTCATTGCATTATTAGTACTTGTTAAATTATTTAAAAAATTTTACTAAAGTGAAAAAAACTGTTTAGTAAAGTTTATTTTTTAAATATTTTCTAACTTTGATAAAATTTTGATAAAAAATATTTACTCAAATTAATATAATACACAAATCCAATGAGTATTTATTTAATGTTAAATTAATTTTTCTAAACTTTTAAAAATATGTTGATCATTAAAAGAGGTCATTTAAACATTGAAAAGATTTTTTTGTGAATAATTCACCAGGCTTAGTTATTTCTAAAAGTAATTTAACATCAAATTGGCAACCTTAATTATTATATATTAATTTACTTTCTAAAATAGGGTTAATCAAACTGAACCACAACAAATTAGGTATATTTAAATAATTATCCAGTCATATTGTGCATATTTTGTTGATTGTTTATAAAACCTCCATGAATTGAAATTTTATATGTTTTTAGTGAGTTAAAAATATATTTTAAAAGGGCTTTTGTGTCGTTACGAACAGTTTTGTTTAATGTTAAGTAAATAATTGGAGGTAATCCTTTAAATAAAAAATTCTTTCCTTTGATTATTTGAAAATTTTCATTTATAGCGGGTTTTTAATGCGAGGACGTAAGGGTGTTATTTGACACCAGTAACATAAATCATTCCTTTTACCGATTTTCAGCATTTAAACGCCGATATGTCCCCCGTAATAGCAGCATGCAACCTTTTCCAGCTAAAACTCCTTTGATCATAACTCGATCCATATTTCTTGGATAAACTTATCTCACACCTCATTCGAGTCATCTAATCGAGCTGAGTCGAATGATACCCCATCCAAGCATTAAAAACCCGCTATAAGTGAAGAGTACCAAAATTCGTACCTATATTGCAACTTTTTGATTTTTTTCAACCTATTTACATATTTATTTAAACTTTTTTCATAACCTATTTAGTTATTTATTATCAGTTTTTTTTCTAAAAAACGATTGCTTATTATTTACTATTAATAAATTAAAAAATAAAATTTTATAATTGAAAAATACCGTGGATATGTAACCTTAAAAATATAAATTATGTAAATTTAAATATTTATATTTTACCAAGAGAAATGTGCAATCATTAATGCTAAAGTTCCAGATCCTTCTGACAGGTACATAGTGTAAGATGCGAAAATACCTGTTGATGCATTTATTAGGGAAATGATAAATACTTGAATAAAAACCTTAAAAATTTAATTTTTAATAAATTAGTTTTGCTTATTAAAGAAACATTATATAAATTTTTATTAAATTCCCAAATAAGCCTCAGTAAAAACCGAAGGTGAATAGGAAATGACGAAGGTATCAGAAATCAAAAATGGCTCTAAAGTCGGAACTCGGACATTATAGTAACTTTTCGGAAATCGGAATTTCTATCGACCCTTGGTGGAAACCCAAAAGTGAAATGAAATTTTGACAGGATCAATTTTATAGGATACCATTCTATGTATTTTTAATATTTTAGATTTTTCACAAAAATAAAAATCCCAAAGTAAATCCAAAAGTAAATGATTAAATGTAAATACATTTTTATGTAAAGTGTTGAGGGTATCATTTTTGTGGGTTTGTTATGGTACGTTATATAAAACCTTATAAATTATTTAGTTTAAAACCAAGATTTTTGGATTTCTAATAGTAATTCGAATGTTTGATTTTTAAATGATTACTATTTAATTTTAACCAATTTCTCCTCTTTTGAAACACTGCTAATTAATTCACGGCCTTTAATGAAAACGCAGACTGAAAATATTGAATAAATTATTGGAGACCCTAAAGCCAATATTGTATTGTGTGTTGTAAATGGTACTAAATCTTCTTTAAACTAAATATTAAAATATATATAAAATTATCTAAATTTATAAACTAATTCCATTCTAAAAGGTTTATATCCATTTAATGGATCTAATGAAACTTCAAAAAGTCTTCCATTAAAAATACACGGGTGTAGAAATATTAGCCAATAAATTCCATATAAACTACAAAAAACAATCCAAATATAAACACGATTATTATGAAAAAGCTTTCTCGCAATCTCTGGAAATGCAACTTCGAGACAACGATTTATTCCCAAAATCTAAAAAATATTTTATTTAATAGTATATGTAAATATATATTTATTTATTAAACCAAATCAGCAGCACATTCAGCAATCCAAAGAACTAATAAAATTAACAAATTTAAAATTTCAATTAATATTTTTAAATTTTCTTATGAATAGTTCTCTCAATTCGCGTATAAAAATTTTTCGAAACTTTTAGAGAGCATCTCTTATATTTTTAATAAAATAAAGCGGCCGAACCCAACTCAGAATATTGCAAAGTTAAATGGGATTTAAGAACAGCCGAACAGACTGATCGTTTCATTATTGTTTCATCTTTAGGCTGGAGAAAGCTTTTGCTGGTTTTTTCAGAATTTATTAATGCATATACCGTTCGATTAATTCCCCTCCCTCAAATAATTCCCTCTCTCATACAGTGCTCCACATAACTATACTTCCACCCCTATTTTCGTGTTTTTTTCCAATTTAAACCCAAAATTTTTTTAAATGATCGTTTAAATATTGTCCTCAGTTAATTAAAAGACTAATAAAAAATGAATTTTTAATTTTGATTTAAAATTATTAGAGTTATAAATATTTTGTCTGAAAACACCTCCACATAACTATACTTCCACTTCCGAAAAAATTATTTCCAACATTAGGAAAAATCCATAAAAATTCCAGCAAACTTATATACTTATATTATAAAAAAATAAAAAGAAACTAGGCCAATATCTTTATCCTAAGACGAGATCCTGATACCACGAAAATCAACGTAAAACAGGGTTAAGCCTCTTTGAAAAATTAACTGAGGACAATATTTAAACGATCATTTAAAAAAATTTTGGGTTTAAATTGGAAAAAAACACGAAAATAGGGGTGGAAGTATAGTTACATATGTCCCGATTCTACGGAGGAGTAAACAATAATCCCCCACCCCCAAATACCCTACATAGGTACTACACGTTCAAATTTCGAAACTCGATTAATTACCCTCCTTGAATAATTCCACATGCCACGGATGGGTTGAAAAAATAATTCCCCAGAGGAATTAATCGAGTAAATACGGTACGATTTATTAATGCATGTATTCTTTAATTTAATGCATGCACAATTAATTTATAATAATTATATTTTCACAAAGATTTGTTTCGATTTATCAAATTGAATTTTTGTCCTTCACGTTATGTCCGCCCCGATATATTCGTTTATGACTTTCTGGCTCGATTCGGTAGTTAAATTTAAATAATGTCAACTAATGAATTATATATGCTTAAGGCTATAGGTATTTGGATTAGAACAGAATATGATCAAAACTCACATCCAAGACAACCGATAAAATAAACAAAAGAAGGGGAAGAACAATAGACTACACCATTTAAGCTAAGAAATCCATAAACAAAAGTTGGCACCCAAAGCACTCCAATATCCAATATAGAAAGATAAATTAAAAGTATATAACAAGGATTTTTGGCTCGATTCTTCCAAAAAGAGTAGAGACAAGGGAAATATAAAGGCTTAAATTATTAAATTTTTTTTGCTTAATCGTTAAAAAATACATATGTAGGCACGTAAAATCAGTGAAATAGGCGCCTAAAATAGGCACCAAAAAGCCAAAAAAGGCACAAAAATAGGCATGTAAAAAAGGTTATCAGACCACAAGATGAATATAAAAACAAAAAAATAACCATTTAATCGTCATTTTTTAAATTATAAACTATTTATTAAACTATTTTGCCATTTATTCGGCATTTTGAATCAGTTTTTGAAAAAATGGAGTAATTTTTTAAAAAATTCCGATAATTGACAAAAGGGAAATACCGCCCAACCCACAAAACGTCCCACCACTAAAACGTCTAATCTCAAAATGTCCAACAGAGTAAAAATACTCAATTTGTCGAACTATACACTAAAAATGGGAGTTGGCACTGATTTTTTGTAGATTCAGACTGATTTTTTTAGATTTTTCACTTATTTTTAGGCAAAATTTAGGAAAAACCGCTAAAAAAGGCAAAAATAGTACCGAAAATTACAAAATAGGCAAAAAGGCTCAAAAAGTCCAAAATAGGCAGAAATAGGCAAAATAAAAGTGATGCTAGACATATCGGACCAAGCTAAAAACACGTTTTTTGAACGTATTACATCAAGCCAAGCTTGCAGAAAAAATAGGCATTTGCCTATAAATCACAGCCTTATACATAATATATGCAGCCTAATATAATGCAAACGATTGCAGCAATTTGAAATCTTTGATCATTTGGAATGTTATCAACATTAATTCCTGTACAATTATATACAATGTCAAAATCCTTACGATTCCACAAAATATATTCCATTATATATTTAAATTCTTCTAAATTTTAAAGTAAATTTTAATTATTTCCCTATTTATCCTAATATATAGATTCACTGTGGTTCTATTTTTCAACCCTTCCATTTTGTGTGGTTATATTAGAGACTGGGATTCAAATGGAGACTATGGCTTTATTTCTCAATCAAGTTTTATTTCGATTGATTGGCGTTATTTCCAGAACCAACACGAAGAACAGATCGAAGATATTCGTGCATTTGAAGTAATCTCTTTATCCTTTCGAATCACTCTAAATCCCTTTTAATTACCATACCCCTCTTAATCCCCCAAATCCCCAATATCCGAATTAATATTGGTAATTACCGAATATCACCTTTACTCCGTCAGAATCCCTTTATATACCTAAATATCCCTCCAAAGGCACCTATATACCTCTTGATCCCTCAATTTTATGAAACCATCCCTAGATATTCGCATTAAACCCCCAAATCCCCAGGTATCCATATTATTAATTTTAATGATATTTAGGGATTCAACAATGAAATTATTTGAAAAATCAACTGCAAAAATAATCAAACATTTTATTGAGGCATTTTTAGGGTGAGGAGGTATTTTAGAGGGAGGGGTTATTTCAGAAGAGAGGGAGCTATTTTAGAAGAAATACGGTATACTGTATTGAAAAAGTTAATTGTTTGAGATACATAAAAAATGTAAATAAAAAATGTTTACATATCATTAAAAAAGTAATGATGAAAGAAAAGTGCCACATATTGTTGGTCACCCGTAAAATGTGCAAGTACATAATAATAAAGCGTGAGAAATTAATAAAGGCCTATGAAGCTTATGTTAATTTTACTTTCTGGCACTCTACTTTAACGAGCCATTTAAATTAAACTATGATTTTCTGGCAAATAAACTGACAACCTGTGCCGTCGTGGGAAAATTACATCAGCAACTACCATATTGTGATAGAATAAATATTTCTACACAATTTTAGAGCTAGTGTGAAAACTGACAGAAAAAAAACTTAATAAATAAATACACATCAACTAAATATTTAGAAAAGTAAAATTGAAATTTCCAAATAATCGTGATTTTATATATCCATTTTGGCTTGTTCAACGAATCTTCATTTTTTTTAATTTTATGATACTTTTTTTCGGAGTCCGAACTATTAGAAGTTTACCAAATAAAAAGTTAAAAAAGTAAAATAACGCTGATTTAAACCAGTCTTACCCAAAAAGCCGGTCGATATCGAAATCAAGTCGTCTTAGTTTAACAAAATTATAAGGCTTTTAGTATTTTATCTATCAAATTCAAAAAATAAATTCGTTTTAAAATCTATGTGATGTAAAATATTGTGTTTGGTGATGGCTTCTTGGTGGTAAATGCCTTTGTTGGTAATGAATGGCCTCTTGAAATTGATCCTGTTGTTGAGGGGGATTATTTGGAATTGTTTTTGGGAATCGGCCTGTGCCATAATTGTTTTGTTGCGGAGGTGGTTGACTTGACCCTACTGGTCGATTACTGCCATGGGGACCTGCTCCTACCTTAAATGTGGTTATTATTTTATTGTCTTCTAAGGTTAAATTAGGTAATATTCGGAAAACCCTTGGAATAATTTTTCAAAAATTTAACCTCTGAAGCTCTATTTTGTGAATAAATCTCTTTTTCTGTCCGCCTTTGCTTGCCTTTTGTACGTTGAAAGCATATTATAATTGAAACAGTGCCAACACAAAAAACGACAAGTACAAAGATGAGAAAACAAACAAGTGGGAAAATCCTCAAAATATTTTATTTAAAGTTAACCGAACAATTATTTTTGTATAAGGGGCATTTTATTTATTCGCAAGAAGCAAATTGCCAGGTTTATTTTGGAGGAATTTTTTTAAAAAATCACTCATTTTCAATAATTTTCGGTTTTTAAAATTTAATAAAACGGTTAATTTTTGATAGAAAATGTCGAAACTTTCGGTTTTCAATTTCCACCCCTAGTCTATCCCCTTATTTTAATTTTAAATGATCAAATACCAAAATTGATCTTTAGGGCAGCAACCTGTTACACAACAACCTTCCATTTTCTCACAGAGCAGGGTAACTGTATTACCACTTTGATTCTTTGCATTATATACACAACGAATAAATCCAGAATCTACACCTGTTTAAAGCAATAAATACGTGTGGATTTTTATGTACGACATCTCACTTGCAGAACTCCTACATTAATGTTAGATTACCGAAAGGTGAAATTTAAGTGATATCAGACTCCCAATGACATACTAAATTTAAGGCTAACTAGGTACTTAAATACAAGTGAGATTCGACACTATTTTAATTTGAATAAATTTAATTAAAAACCTTCCAAAGAAGAGCCAATAAAATCGCCTTAATTTTATAAATATTTAAAATCATATTTAAAATTTAAATTATAAAAAATTATATGAATTATAGAAAAACTTTAATTTAATAAACTTGTTGCATAAATAAATGAAATTTTTTTTAAAATTTTTGTTTTGGATAAATTTGATTGTTAACTTATGGGTAAAAAATTTAAGATATTATCATAAATTAAAATTAATTTTACCTATCGTCCCATGCTGAAAAACTTCTTGTAATTGAACACCTTGAATTGTTTCTGAATTTCTGCCAGTTGGCAGCCGAATAGTTTCACCCATCTCATGAATGTTAAAAGATTTTAAAGAGATTTAAGAACAACTTGCTAGGATTCGTAATTAAAAACTATCAAAATTTTAACTAAAATATCTTCAAATATCAAAAGAGAGTGAGAAGGTCGGCACTCGTTTTTCGTTTAAAAATAAAAAAACAACAGAAAAAGGTTGAATCGAGCCGATCTCTAATAAGAAGCGTGAATTAAATGAAATTCTGAGAGAGATAGGCTTAACTTTGTATAATTCTCGTAGGAAATTTAACTTTATTTTGAGATATTGAATATATATAGTTGTACAAATCCAGAAAAACTTTTAGTTAAACTCAAGAAAAATCATCCGAGAAAATCGATTTGCGCGCTTTAGAGAATGGGGAAGAGAGCTGTGGAAATGAGTGAAGGTTGGGGATAAGTGGATGTATAATGAATGGGGAAGAATGAGGAAAAAACAGCAAAGTGGCCTAGTAATAAAGGTATATTTAACTGTTTTAGTTGGTTAATGTTTTGTATTTTGCTATATAATATTATATTACTAAAAATTTTAGCAAGAAGGTTGTGTGTGAAAGGTATTTTAGTATGTTCGGAAGTAAACAAAAATAATTAATGAACATAAAACAACCATTTAATTAAGTTAAAAATTAGCGTTCGGCGCCGGATTCGACCCAGTGTGATTATTTCGAGTCGTTAAAATATCCAAATTTACGAGCTTGTTCAAGTAATTTTGTCCCAAGAGGGTATTTAAAACCACTAAACGACTGTATTTGCAAAATTTAATCAAAATATCAAATACGTTTATTTATATAATATAACAAAATATATTTTCTCTAAACACATTACTAAAATATTCTAAAACTAATTAGGAAAAATATTAATTCAGTTTTCTTAATTTATATTCATTTTTCTTTATCCATGGCATTTCTTTATGACAGCCCAATATCCGTTTGTACTACTGCTCCGACATCCGCCTGGCCCTCCATTATGAACACGAGACATTTTCTCACAGGCACTCATGTTTGCTGGACATTTTCCTTGGTACCTCTTAATATATGCCTAAAAATTATGCATTAACAGATTAAAATAGTGAAAAAACTCGTCTTTACCTGGACGCACTTTAATGAGCACTGGTAATCAACAGAACATCTTTTCCAAGCACTATCAATAGATTCTCCACTTTTACGCATCGGCGATCCACAGTCTTTGTAATATGGCAATTTTATCTGAATTTTTTTGTTTAACTTTAAATACTAAGTTTCCTTAGAAACGAACTTGAATCCTTTTATACTAAGAGAGTAGGGAAACAGCTCATTAAAGGCTGGCGTTTTGGTTGGGAATAAATATTTAAAAAATTTAAGTACTACATAATGCTTTTCTTATAAATATTCTGCGATAAGATACGATAAGATACTTCTACGATAAGATACAAATATTTGCACCAAAAATTCTCTCTATGGCAACAAGTACCAATCTTCAATTAATTCTCAATTTCATTATTATATAGGTGTCCAGGTATTTTTACCTGAAAGTAACCACAACTATCGCTATTAACATCCCAATGACATTTTAAAGGTTTACATCCAGATTCGTGATTACAAATACATTTTAAACATTTTGCTTCATCTGCAGACAAATATTCAATAATTGAATAAAAAATAATAAAAATAATTATTTTATAGAGCATTTAAATAAATTTATTTAGTAATAAAAATTTTTAATTCTAATTTACTTATTTTGCTTTTTATATTACTTAAAAATGCACTTTTTGTTTATAATTTAGTAAATACCAGACAAAATAAATATATTTATTTTAAATACTTAGATTAAAATATGTATGATTTTATTAAAAATATTGAAAGTACTTTATTTATCCAGCACCCTAAAATGATAAATTCAAGCTATTATACGTGCCTTTTTCAGAATTAAAAATAAAATGTATTAATTTATTCAATAAATACCTTAATAAATATATTTAAATGCAAATATTTTCAATTTTAACTTATTTTCATCAAAATATAAACAAAATCTGTTATGCTAAATATTGCTGTTCGAAATACATTCTTGATAGTTGAATCGGCATAATATTGGAGAAATACACAAAGAAATCTCCTTAGATTACCTATGTCATTTTTATGAGTTTTTAGTTATATATTTCTGGATATAAATTAAAAGTTTTTAGTTATGTTTTGACGAATTCGCATAGTGATGCCGAGTAGAGTAAAAATTCTGGTCATTTAAGTATATGTAGTTTAATTAGTAATTTCTGTATTTTTGCGACCTTGCAAACCCTTTTTAAAATTTAAAGCACATCGTTTATTTTTTTTAAAGTTTGTCAAAAATAAATTTATCGTATACGATACCGATCTTGTCTATCTTCAGTTTGTTGATCAGTTTAAATGATACTTGAATTGATAACCAAATTATATTTTTTAACTGTATACATATAATCTTATGCTTTCAATAATTTTTTCAGACTAAACATTTATGCCACGTTTCCCAGCCTAACCCCTCTAAACGAGATTAATAGTCGCTTAGGCAAAAATTTAAATAAATTTAAATAAAATAAATTTTATTATTTGTTCATCTGCTAAAATTGATCATCAGAATTTAAAGTATCACATGAAAGCTAGAAGGATATCGATAAAATAAATTGTCAATGTGCGTTAAAATGGCGTTATTAAGGAAGAAAAATTTAGAAAGTTTATTCTTAAAAGTTCCTCATACTTAGTGATCATTCTGAAAAGTAATCAACCGGAAAATCAGGCAAATGATCAACTGGGTGAGTGAAAAACAATTTTTTGTCACCTTGATATCAGTTCTAGATAAAATTCTTTTTTACGTTTGGTGACCAAAATTCCCATTGGTGAACAAAATTTCAGTGCCCAATATTCCGTTTTTTAATTTGGTGTCCAAAATTCCAAAAAATTGGTGGCTAAAGTTCCGAAAAATTTTAGTGACCGTTGTAATCGTTTTAGACGTGCGATCCTTTGAACGTTTTTAGCCGTGGCGATCCCTTTATGTGACGATCCTTTGTAGGAACACGGTCGGATAGCCGAAAGAACAAAAGGCAGTAGTCGATGAACATATAGTAAAGCAGCTGGGCTATAGCTATTTCTCTCCTTTAGCTAGTGCAAAAGGTTATTCGGCGGCTGGGAGCGAACCAGCATCTTCAGTAGACCGGACTGATGTGTTAGCCATTACACCACGCCGCCTACTGCTCAGCTATATGCTTTACAATATGTTTCAGAAAAGGAAATTTGATCTTGAGTTAAATAATCGTGAATGGCATTTACTTACTTTAATATAGGTTAATTAGATTAAGTATAGGAGGATAGTTGAAAAATACAGCCCCAAGTTTAAAATACAACCCCATTTTAACAAATTAAGAATTTCCCGGTTTCCCGGCCGGGACCCGGTCATTTCTGACCGGGATGAAACCGGGAACGGGAATTCCCGGTTTTCCCGGTCCGGGTCTCTCCCGGTCAACCGTCAGAACCCGCTTCCCGGTTACCGGACCCGGTTTTTTCAAAATTTCGATCTCTACCTAAAACCAGGCCGCCCTAAAACGATATTTTGGCGTTTATTTTATTATTTAAAATTACACAGCATAAAATCTTTTTTAAAATAAAAAAAATTTTAAAAGAAATTTCCGCCTAATTTATTAAATTTTAAAGAGGCAAATTATATAATTTTATATTTATTCACCTATTTATTAAAGTAAAATTTATATCCTATTTAAGCAAATTATTAAAAGGAACTTCTTATCTTTCTAAGGAACATTTTAAAACTAAACCAAGAAAATTCATAATCAATTAAAATTGAAAAATGAATACATCTATTTTATTTAATTTTGTTACACTCTCAATTATTTATGTTATTCTTTACTTATCATTCGCTGAAGCAGCCAACATAATGGGTATTTAATAACTGATATAAGATTTAATATTATGGAGTAAATACTGCCTGGGTACAGAATCATAGTCTATCAGAAATGCTCATATATAACGGTCATTTAATTGTAGAATTTATACCCTAACAAGATCAGGATAAAGAGATGTAGATATGTTTATAAGCTTGTTTTGGATAATTCTCGAGGGTCTATCCCATCAAATGTTTTACTTTTCCTGGGGCTGGTTAGACTACATATTTTAATGACGCAAAATAAAATATATATAATTATTTTTATACTAAATTTTTTTCAAGATTATCCTGATACTGGTGCAAATAAAGCACATAATCCAAAATTAGGAGGAGGACGATAAGATGGATTTGCTGCAATCTGGGGGTTTTTGCTGGTTAAATGAATAAAAACGTGATTAAAATATAAAAGTTGAATAAAATTGTGAATTAGTTTCCAGCAATATTTTGGGATGAATAAATTTTTGTAATATTTAATTGTCCAGTTTCTTCAAGTAAAAAATTCACTACAAAAATCATTAATCAGGGCAAAGACCCAACTAACACAAAAGAACCCATAGCCTAATTAAAAATTTATAACTGAACGGCAGAATCAGTTCTTTAGAGTAAAAGAAACTTAATCTTGTCAAATAACCAAAGATTTGTGTACAAATATGTTTTGGAGACAATTTAGGGAGAACTTATCTTTTAATTTCAACTTCTAATTCAAATTGGAGACAAATGCGGGTCCGGGATTCGAATTAGATAAAACCACCTGATCTCATTCGGACTCAGCATACATAATTACCTACTGTCAAACTTATACAATATCGGAAATCGACTTCCTCTTATTTTAATGAGATGTCAGAGGTCGGTCGAAAATGACGAAGGTGCAAGGGTCAAAAATACAGACAACAAAATGCCACAGGAAAAAATGTACAGCGGAAGTACGATTCTCTCAAATATGTAATTATAAAATATTTTGTAATTTTAACAAAAAAATAATTAAAAAATAATAATTTGTGTAATGCCAAATTAATCTAAAATCCCAAAATTAATTTCCATCTAATTTCTTTTTATTTTCCTCCAGCACATTGTTTAACAGCATTCCAATAAACATCAGTTCTAGCTAGAGAACATCCATTTGGCCCTCCATTATGAAGACGTGACATTCTCTCACAATCACTAATTGGTTTATTACACTGACTTGCATATCGGTTAATATAAGCCTAAAAATATATTTAAAGTGCAAATATAAAAATATTCTGTAAAAACCCTAATGCATTGAACAGAGCAACCATAATCTAGAGCACATCGCCAATCAATCAAGTATAGATAAAATTTCTAAATGGTGTTCTGAAAATGCTCTAGAAATATCTTTTAATAAAACTCTAGTTTTACATATTGGTACTAATAATCCTAAACATAACTACTATTTCAATGGTTTACCATTGAAATGTGTTTCTACAATCTCAGATCTAGGAATTGATTATACAGATAATTTATCTTTTGAACCCTATTATACAAAAATTGTAAAAAATGCCTATTTTAGGGGTATTTCAATCATTAATAATCTTCACACGTCTAATCCCAAAATTTGGGGTACGGCATTTAAAACATATATTAGGCCAATTTTGGAATATTCTTCAGTTATATGGAATCCCAAAACTAAAAAACATAGAGAAAAATTAGAAAAGGTTCAAAAATGGTATACAAGGGTGGCTCTTTTTAAGTGTAAAATCAACAAGAAAAATTATATCCAAAGATTAAAATTATTTAATCTCGAATCACTGGCCCTCAGAAGAGTTTTATTCGATTTATCAACTATTTTTAAGATCATTAAAAACCACACCCACTTTACCTCTTCACAATTCTTTATGTTATCTGATAGACCTAATAGGAATAGACATAATTATCAAATAAAAGTAGCTCGTAAAACCTCCAAAACTGAACACTGGATCTTTAACAGATCCATTAATCTCTGGAATGCCCTACCTATAGAGATTGTCAACATTGATAATTATAAGATATTTTGGAACACCCTAAGATCCTACCTTATCGAACTAGAAAGTACCAATAATAGCCTTCTTTATTATCGTTATTGATATTAATATATCAAAACTTACTTTACCCCCACCTACCCACTCCCCCCCACCTACCCACTCCCCCCACTTACCCACTCCCTCCACCTACCCTCTCCCTCCACCTACCCTCTCCCCCCACCTACCCACTCCCTCCACCTACCCTCTCCCTCCACCTACCCTCTCCCCCCTCTTTTCTCCCATCTAGCTTATATACTTGATTTTTTATATACCAATAATAATCGTCTTTACTATCGATATTAATATTTCCCCAAACCATAACCCAGTTCAAATAATAATACTTTTTCAGGCTTTAAAACGGCTGTTTATTGCTTTGTGGCGTTTTGTTTACTTAGTACTCAAAAGTCCCAATCAATATTCATAAATTACTTTTTATTTTATTTTTTTTCCGTTGTCGGGACCTTAGTGTTTTTTCATTTTTTTTTCAAATTTTAATTAATTTTTTTTACATTTTAAGATTTATTCTTTAAGAATCAAATCTATTTCTTAAATTTTTATTTAAGAATCATGGACATTGGGCCTATTACTTTCAAAGCACAAAAATAAAAAAAACTGCTTCTTAACCTAATATTAATTTATTACATGTCCATGGTTCTTAAATTTCCATTTTTCATTGACTTCAATATATTTTGTTTCCTAGACATTATTTTTTTTACTTTTAAATTTTAATTGATTTTTTTTAAAT